GAAATTGTATTTGTGTCAGTATGGACACAAAAAATTAAAAACCCTTATTCTTTTGCCTTATCATGAAGATTGAAATTGAAAAATGTTTAATTTACAATGAATATGAAGAAATAATGACCGTAATTTTAATGGAAGGTCCACAAAATAAAGGGGCGTTTTTTTAGTTTTACTCTATTATTTACTAAGCCCTGGACAACTGTATTTTTCGGGCTTGAGGGCTCCCCCAAAGGAAAGAGCCGTTCGTTCAAACGTACCGGTAAACATTTGTCCATTGGCAACAACCTCAAAATGCCCAAATTTTAATGACATTTGGATCAGATCACTACATTTGACCATGATAAGGAAGCTTTTGGGGTGGCCATGATAAGGGGGATTTTCGGGTGGCCATGATAAGGGGGATTTTCGGGTGGCCATGATAAGGGGCTTTTTGGGGTGGCCATGATAAGAGGGCTTTTTGGGGTGGCCATGATAAGAGGGCTTTTTGGGGTGGCCATGATAAGGGAGCTTTTGGGGTGGCCATGATAAGAGGGCTTTTTGGGGTGGCCATGATAAGAAGGTTTTTTGGGGTGGCCATGATAAGAGGGCTTTTTGGGGTGGCCATGATAAGAGGGCTTTTTTGGGTGGCCATGATAAGGGAGCTTTTGGGGTGGCCATGATAAGGGAGATTTTGGGGTGGCCATGATAAGAAGGTTTTTTGGGGTGGCCATGATAAGGGGGCTTTTTGGGGTGGCCATGATAAGGGGGCTTTTTGGGGTGGCCATGATAAGGGAGCTTTTGGGATGGCCATGATAAGAGGGCTTTTGGGGTGACCATGAAAAGGGAGTTTTTGGGGGAAACTAAATGCTCATTGCGAGTATTGCTTTACGAGATAAAGTGTAAACCGCAGAAGGCTTTCTTTCCTGTTATCATTAAGACTACCTAATTATTATTCACTGCAAGTTTATCAAACAATTTTAAAACATTTTAAAACATAGGCTCTTAAAATGTTACCAAATAAATTTCTGTGTTTTCTTCAGCTCTTAGATAGCCCAATTACTTGCTAATGAATGCAAATTTCGCTTTACACGAGTCTAAATTCACATAGTTTATTTTGATGAAAAGAAACTTGAAATCGCAACTAAAAATTCATATTTGGTTTTAATACATTGCGAAAGATATATTTTAAATTACACACTTGCAATGATAGCTTTAGCATTGCTTGTTAAACGGCAAATCAAACTGTAGTAGTGGGGTCAATTTGCTTGGACGGAGCGTTTATTCATGAGTCATTGAAAAATTTGGTGAATCAACAATAATTTCAAATAGTCAACTTCAACTTCGATATTTGCATATTGGAAATTGATATCAAAATAGTATTGGGTACTGTAATAAGATTGGCTGTGGCAAATATTAATATGACATCACACTCTAAAATCTTAATTATAAAATGAGTTTTTTAAAGCTATATCGGACTACAGCTATATCCAAGCTATTTTATGTTCCTACAGAGAAATAAATCAATTATCTTTGATGTTCCCTATAATTACTACTTTTGATTTGTATTTACGGCAAGCGTACGGTTTGTTATATGAGGCCCACATACTTATTTGACATTGATAGATAACTTAATAAAAAATTTAAAACCCATCATTTTGTTACAAAGACATTTACTTGATACTCCTCATTCTAGGATGTTCCAGAATACTCTTCCAAGACCAAAAATCAACTGAGAGCGAATGAGGGATTCCATTAAGACTCTCCAGGCTCTAGACCTCCTACACTACTGTACAGTGTCGTCTCATGGTACACCCTCGTCTCTGTTACAGACACAGGACTGCAGCTCCAGGAGGCGATACACAACGACCACCTGGTGATCAGTGTGAGACATGTCAAACCTCGCAAGCGACTGAGGGCCTCCATGGAGACTCTCCTGGCTCTAGACCTCCTACACTACTGTACAGTGTCGTCTCATGGTACACCCTCGTCTCTGTTACAGACACAGGACTGCAGCTCCAGGAGGCGATACACAACGACCACCTGGTGATCAGTGTGAGACATGTCAAACCTCGCAAGCGACTGAGGGCCTCCATGGAGACTCTCCTGGCTCTAGACCTCCTACACTACTGTACAGTGTCGTCTCATGGTACACCCTCGTCTCTGTTACAGACACAGGACTGCAGCTCCAGGAGGCGATACACAACGACCACCTGGTGATCAGTGTGAGACATGTCAAACCTCGCAAGCGACTGAGGGCCTCCATGGAAACTCTCCTGGCTCTAGACTTCCTACACTACTGTACAGTGTCGTCTCATGGTACACCCTCGTCTCTGTTACAGACACAGGACTGCAGCTCCAGGAGGCGATACACAACGACCACCTGGTGATCAGCGTGAGACATGTCAAACCTCGCAAGCGACTGAGGGCTTCCATGGAGACTGTCCTGGCTCTAGACTTCCTACACTACTGTACAGTGACGTCTCATGGTACACCCTCGTCTCTGTTACAGACACAGGACTGCAGCTCCAGGAGGCGATACACAACGACCACCTGGTGATCAGTGTGAGACATGTCAAACCTCGCAAGCGACTGAGGGCCTCCATGGAGACTCTCCTGGCTCTAGACCTCCTACACTACTGTACAGTGTCGTCTCATGGTACATCCTCGTCTCTGTTACAGACACAGGACTGCAGCTCCAGGAGGCAATACACAACGACCACCTGGTGATCAGTGTGAGACATGTCAAACCTCGCAAGCGACTGAGGGCCTCCATGGAGACTCTCCTGGCTCTAGACTTCCTACACTACTGTACAGTGTCGTCTCATGGTACACCCTCGTCTCTGTTACAGACACAGGACTGCAGCTCCAGGAGGCAATACACAACGACCACCTGGTGATCAGTGTGAGACATGTCAAACCTCGCAAGCGACTGAGGGCCTCCATGGAAACTCTCCTGGCTCTAGACCTCCTACACTACTGTACAGTGTCGTCTCATGGTACATCCTCGTCTCTGTTACAGACACAGGGCTGCAGCTCCAGGAGGCAATACACAACGACCACCTGGTGATCAGTGTGAGACATGTCAAACCTCGCAAGCGACTGAGGGCCTCCATGGAAACTCTCCTGGCTCTAGACCTCCTACACTACTGTACAGTGTCGTCTCATGGTACACCCTCGTCTCTGTTACAGACACAGGGCTGCAGCTCCAGGAGGCAATACACAACGACCACCTGGTGATCAGCGTGAGAAATGTCAAACCTCGAAAGCGACTGAGGGCCTCCATGCAGACTCTGCTGGCTCTAGACCTCCTACACTACTGTACAGTGTCGTCTCATGGTACACCCTCGTCTCTGTTACAGACACAGGGCTGCAGCTCCAGGAGGCGATACACAACGACCACCTGGTGATCAGTGTGAGACATGTCAAACCTCGCAAGCGACTGAGGGCCTCCATGGAAACTCTCCTTGCTCTAGACCTCCTACACTACTGTACAGTGTCGTCTCATGGTACACCCTCGTCTCTGTTACAGACACAGGAATGCAGCTCCAGGAGGCGATACACAACGACCACCTGGTGATCAGTGTGAGACATGTCAAACCTCGCAAGCGACTGAGGGCCTCCATGGAGACTCTCCTGGCTCTAGACCTCCTACACTACTGTACAGTGTCGTCTCATGGTACATCCTCGTCTCTGTTACAGACACAGGACTGCAGCTCCAGGAGGCGATACACAACGACCACCTGGTGATCAGCGTGAGACATGTCAAACCTCGAAAGCGACTGAGGGCCTCCATGCAGACTCTGCTGGCTCTAGACCTCCTACACTACTGTACAGTGTCGTCTCATGGTACACCCTCGTCTCTGTTACAGACACAGGACTGCAGCTCCAGGAGGCGATACACAACGACCACCTGGTGATCAGTGTGAGACATGTCAAACCTCGCAAGCGACTGAGGGCCTCTATGGAGACTCTCCTGGCTCTAGACCTCCTACACTACTGTACAGTGTCGTCTCATGGTACACCCTCGTCTCTGTTACAGACACAGGACTGCAGCTCCAGGAGGCGATACACAACGACCACCTGGTGATCAGTGTGAGACATGTCAAACCTCGCAAGCGACTGAGGGCTTCCATGGAGACTCTCCTGGCTCTAGACCTCCTACACTACTGTACAGTGTCGTCTCATGGTACACCCTCGTCTCTGTTACAGACACAGGACTGCAGCTCCAGGAGGCGATACACAACGACCACCTGGTGATCAGTGTGAGACATGTCAAACCTCGCAAGCGACTGAGGGCCTCTGTGGAGACTCTCCTGGCTCTAGACCTCCTACACTACTGTACAGTGTCGTCTCATGGTACACCCTCGTCTCTGTTACAGACACAGGACTGCAGCTCCAGGAGGCGATACACAACGACCACCTGGTGATCAGTGTGAGACATGTCAAACCTCGCAAGCGACTGAGGGCCTCCATGGAGACTCTCATGGCTCTAGACTTCCTACACTACTGTACAGTGTCGTCTCATGGTACACCCTCGTCTCTGTTACAGACACAGGACTGCAGCTCCAGGAGGCGATACACAACGACCACCTGGTGATCAGTGTGAGACATGTCAAGCGACTGAGGGCCTCCATGTAGACTCTCCTGGCTCTAGACCTCCTACACTACTGTACAGTGTCGTCTCATGGTACATCCTCGTCTCTGTTACAGACACAGGAATGCAGCTCCAGGAGGCGATACACAACGACCACCTGGTGATCAGTGTGAGACATGTCAAACCTCGCAAGCGACTGAGGGCCTCTATGGAGACTCTCCTGGCTCTAGACCTCCTACACTACTGTACAGTGTCGTCTCATGGTACACCCTCGTCTCTGTTACAGACACAGGAATGCAGCTCCAGGAGGCAATACACAACGACCACCTGGTGATCAGTGTGAGACATGTCAAACCTCGCAAGCGACTGAGGGCCTCCATGTAGACTCTCCTGGCTCTAGACCTCCTACACTACTGTACAGTGTCGTCTCATGGTACATCCTCGTCTCTGTTACAGACACAGGAATGCAGCTCCAGGAGGCGATACACAACGACCACCTGGTGATCAGTGTGAGACATGTCAAACCTCGCAAGCGACTGAGGGCTTCCATGGAGACTCTCCTGGCTCTAGACCTCCTACACTACTGTACAGTGTCGTCTCATGGTACACCCTCGTCTCTGTTACAGACACAGGGCTGCAGCTCCAGGAGGCGATACACAACGACCACCTGGTGATCAGTGTGAGACATGTCAAACCTCGTAAGCGACTGAGGGCCTCCATGGAGACTCTCCTGGCTCTAGACTTCCTACACTACTGTACAGTGTCGTCTCATGGTACATCCTCGTCTCTGTTACAGACACAGGACTGCAGCTCCAGGAGGCGATACACAACGACCACCTGGTGATCAGTGTGAGACATGTCAAACCTCGCAAGCGACTGAGGGCCTCTATGGAGACTCTCCTGGCTCTAGACCTCCTACACTACTGTACAGTGTCGTCTCATGGTACACCCTCGTCTCTGTTACAGACACAGGACTGCAGCTCCAGGAGGCGATACACAACGACCACCTGGTGATCAGTGTGAGACATGTCAAACCTCGCAAGCGACTGAGGGCTTCCATGGAGACTCTCCTGGCTCTAGACCTCCTACACTACTGTACAGTGTCGTCTCATGGTACACCCTCGTCTCTGTTACAGACACAGGACTGCAGCTCCAGGAGGCGATACACAACGACCACCTGGTGATCAGTGTGAGACATGTCAAACCTCGCAAGCGACTGAGGGCCTCCATGGAGACTCTCCTGGCTCTAGACTTCCCTGGCAGTCAGCAGAAACTGGTGGTAATGCTGGACAGGAGGGAAAGCAGAGGTTAGTGGATATTATTAGTTTTTGAGTCAACATAAATAATATATGCATCAGTCGATTTAAGTAACTTATTCGACCTTGGAAGGAAATGGTACTTGGAGTACTTTAATTTGTATCCAAGAGTTTCGACTGATAGCAAAATATGAAGAGACAGCACTGATTAGAGATTAAATCAAATTCACTGATTTTAGAGCTAGCCAACGCCTTGTACAATGTATTTTCCCAACACCACAAAACATACGTAGACGTAACTAGATACTAAAGTAACTCGATGTTAGTTGGTTAGTTGTAAGTACAAGTATTACCGCATGTCAAACTGACCACAGACATCTAACTGTCCACTACTACACTACTGTACTTTACACTTTCAGATGGCAATAGTTCTGACTCAAGTGTGATTTGAGTCAGAACTATTGCCAACGAGATGATTCAGGTACGAGATGATTCAGATTTCGTATCACCCAGGGTCTGTAGTTCATTCCCCAACTCTTACCTTGATGTACAAGCTCTAGCGATATAATGTTAGAAAATATGTCCAAGAACAATACACGAAATAGTTATTTGTGTAACTAGTGGCCGAAGTGGCACTTTGCAGCATACGTTTCTTGATTGCAGCAAAAGCAGTTTTCACTCGTGTTACATCATATTTTTCCGACAGTTACTATAAGTCATATAAATAATCTTTCAAACACAGTACAACACGTTTTTAGGTTAGGATAAATCCAAACATTTAACGAAATAGGAAACGCTGCACCAGCTGATCGTAGTCGTAATATCTTTGTGTTGTAAACTTATTTTCAAGCGTACACAGATTACATGCATAATAAAAGCACGCCGTTGGTTGGAATACTGATGTGCGGCTAAAGACCGTGCGTCAAAGTAAAAAGTGTGCGAAAAAAGTAAGTAAATGCAGCAATTAGCAAGTTTCTGTACTATCAGTGCAAGGAAGCCCACTTTGACGGGTGACTGTACTGTAGAAAAAACATGTAAAGAGTCATGTAACCGTTGTGACATCAAATTTGTCACTTTCGTCTTGCCACAAGTACACGTGTTAATTAAATTTGAATTTTAGTGTGCCTTGTTTTTATCACTCAATTTAGTAACCATACCATAAATGGAATACAATTTGTGGGTCGCCCTTTAAAATAAACAGTATCAGCATTCTGACACATACTTTCTCCCATAAGTTTGTCAACAACCTTTATCATGTGTAACTTAAGCGGTGAGAGTAAATATACGGAAATTGGATTTGTACAATTTTCTTCAGAATTTAAATGACTATAACATACTAAAATTTTATCAAAATCGTTCGGGCCATTTTTTGGAAAATCCGATTTTCCGTTATTTTATTGGTTTTTATGGGAAAATAACATAATTTACAATAACTTTTGAACCGTAATTTTTACAGAAATGGGATTTGTACCATTTTGTTCAGAATATAAGGACTATAACTTACTAAATTTTTATCAAAATCGTTTGGGCCATTTTTGGGAAAATCATATTTTTCCGTTATTTTATGGGGTTTTATGGCAAAATCCCCATTAAAAGTCGAATCCGGAATATCTTTAGCAGCTGATTGCAAAATTTGAAAAGACAATACATAAACTTCACCAATGTGAATCCGTTAGGGACAAAACTTAGACAGTGCTCAATGATGAAACTCTTAGTTCGCTACCGTCCTCGATGACCCTTGCGGTGACATTACTGTCTCTACTCCTTCACTTCCCACCACCTCCACTCGTCTTCCCAGAACCTCGTCCTCGTCCTGGACCATACAAGGAGTGTCGCGCTGTTCTTGTCAAGCAAGAGCCTGATTTGCCAACCGTGGACGAGCCTACGCGACGCGTCGTATTTCCAAATTTATCAATCACAGCTGACCCTACATTTCAGGCCCCGTTAGGTTTTGATTTTAAAAAATTGTGAGAGCATAAGGGAAGTATAGTTTTAGGTCAATGGTTTTGTGGAGACGAAAAATGTGAGAGAGATTTTAGGCCAATTTCGATTCTTTGACAGTTTTGAAAATGTCTCAAATCTGTTACTATATCAGTTTGTGTTGCTGCAAGTATAAGAGTAGTATATCTGGTTTGTAAGCCATCGAATCAGGACAGATTTGTATCTTTTGTGCTTCCATTGAACCGTAATAATCGTTTGCCATCATAAGAATCGATAAATATAACAAATGAATTAACATTTTGTAAAAATGTAAACTAAACCCACTGGCTACTATAAAATATTTATTCTTTTTAAAATAATACAATACAAGTGTGACCTAAAATTTCAAAACCATTACCAGTATTTATAAGTTAGCAATTAGCAGTTTACAACAGTTTTGAAGGGTAACAAACAAAATAGTTCAGTAAGTGTAAAGTATGTACATAATCAGTAAAATATTCGATTACAACTGAAATGGTTTTGCTTTTTATTATATTAGCCTTCTAAACTATGAATTCTTTATTGCATTATATATCTGTACGACGCTGACATTGGGGGTGCATATTTTAAGGCAACGATTATAGACAAGAGATATATTCTTTATAGCCAAGATAATTTAATCAAAGCTCTATCGTCAACGAGAGCAAAGTCCAGTTTCCGTTGAAAAGCTACTGACTATTCTCAAAATCCTAGTGAGAATAGTTCCCTCTAAATGCTTGTTGAGCAGTTTATATCAATAATTGTGTAAACCAACTTGTCATGTCCTATACACCAGACCCAATACGCTAGGCTGGAACTTTGCATATTATTCAGGGTAATTCTAAAGAATTGCGGCATTAATTGGTTAAATTTAATGGTAATTGTTGGGATTTGAACCCGGAACCTCGGTAACCGAGCTCTATCAAGACCTAAACTCTCCTGTGTAAACCAACAACAAAGAACATCATTTTCAAAGCGGTTTAGCTCCATCTGGTAAATCACAGCTGATTTATGAAAATAAATTGACTAACCACTAACCAAGTATATGAATCACGTGGCTAAAACAATATACCTACACAAATCACAATCAGCTGTTTTCCACCGTATGACTGGGTGACCCATTGTTGACGCCCCCGTGAAGTGGCGCTGCGGTTCTGTCTCTACATGGCGACTGCATGCAGACTGAATCACTCTAGTCTACAACCCACTCATTCTGGGGGATAATTAATTACACTTTGTTAACGAGTTGGATACATCACTCTTGTAGTGGTTAATGGTAATGAGTAGGCTGTAATGTCGAAATTGAACATTGGCGATGGTGATGAAACGATGGCCAAAAAGGCAGAGCCGTTGACTTGAATCGTGCACTTTGACTTTATTTTATTATGTGCGTTTTACAACAATTGAAATTTGTTGAGTTTTATCAGTAAGAGAGCATTCTTAAGTAAACTCTGGTCTTGCTTCTAGTAGCAAGTAGTACTAGATTGTTACAATAGTCCAAGGGTTGCTGAGACATATAGTACTTATCCTATTACTCAGCAGGTCGGAAGGTCGCTGTTTCAATCCTGTAGGAAGATCAAATCAAGTAATTTATTGAGACAAATAGTTGCATAAAACGCTTATAGTAGTAACTGGTGTCTCGCCCACTAATTACAATCCTAATCTATTTTTGTAGTAGGTACATGGAACTCCTTGATCAATGGGATTTTAATAAATTATACTGGGCTAAAGAATCATCTGGTCTTAGTTAGTACTTAATACAAGAGCTGTCATCCCATTGGGGTGTCTTAAACTCTTTATACGTATATCATATTACGATTATAGCAGTAGTAATCCAAACGTCCAAAATAATATTAACACAGACCTACCGGTGCGTAAAAAAAATATTCCTCCATTCAAATTTAATGAATTTAGTAATTGAAAATATGACGGATTTACCAAGAAAGTTGAACCACGATTCACAATCCAACGATACGAAGCAACAGCAACAGCATGATAGTGTGAAGTAGTCTACAATAATTCAAAACCATTTCGACTAAATAAAAGTATCCAACATTAGCCACCCATACATTCAACAATAAATCCGGAGGTTGGTCAACATTGTAAATCGTCAACGATTAATCACGTGTGTAAAAGGAACAATTAGGTCATTAGTAGAGCCGGCTCCTTATTAAGCAAAGGTTAGGATTATGAAACAGACAGCAAACTAGTGGGACTTTCACGTGCGACATCTGTGGTCAAGGTTGTGGTACACCTGTGAACAGCTGATTATCTCGGATCAGCTGTTTTGGTTGTTGATTGTCGCGGTCTGCTCATCTTCCGTACATAAACAAAGGGTAATGTAAACAAAGCTAGGATTATTTTTGATTTTGGATTTAATTACTGCATTACAGTGAGTATGTTATTTATTTGTAACAGATGGAATTCTTTCACAACAGTTTGAGATATTAAATACGAGGAAGAAACATCGGAATCTCGGTTAGAAAACATTGAGGTTAAATATATTTTTATACTGTATTTGTAACCTGGGAATTTTCATATCTTTGATTTCGTATTTTCGATAAATGAACAAATTTTTTTTGGTGAATTAGTGTACAATAATTTTAATTTGCATTTAAAATGTTTCCTACAGTTTTTAGCTAATCTCCTAGTCGATTGTGTGAAAAAAAACAGTGTTAAACTTACATAGCTCTTAAAGCAATAAATTATTGTAAGGATTTAAAATGGGTTAGGTAAGGGAAAAGTATCTTGACTGACACCAGTACCGTGGTAGGCTGTGTATAGTGTCATGTAGTCTATAACTTGCAAGAGAGACAGGAAACACCTACCGGGTCTGGCCCACTAGCAGATGTTCATGATAATTCAATCTTTAATGGTATCAATCTAAATATGACTCAAGTCTTGTAGTATCATTATACTGGTGTTAAGTTTTTCCTGGTAATGCAATTTTTCAGTTTAAGAGTTTTTAAAATATTGATGTGAGTTTTAAAAAATGACAGGAAAGTAACGGTTCAAATTTATATCAATATGACGGATGTAAAAAATTGTAAGTAATCGGTTCCAATGTATTTTCTAAATTAAGGTAAACATGTACCCTTTTATTTTCTCTTTTTATATAAAACTTAGTTTATCCTCAGTAGTCAGTCTTTTAACTGTCAAAATTCTATTTAGCCTACGGTAATATCATCACAAAGTATTAAAATGTTTAAATAAATTGAAGGATTTTTATTGTCATAACAGGCTAACGTTAATGGAAAAACTCGGTTTACCCCAGCATAAAAAAACATTACATTATACACGAAAATTTGATTCAGTTTTTTCCACCGTAATTGAAAGCGTTTTCAACCAAAGGTTTGATTTAGGAAGATGTTTACACATTTTTCAATCAAATTATTCATCATTTATAGTTAGTTTTTTACCCAAGATCGATTCATCTTTGGTATTTACAGCGTAATCGATATTTCTACGTCTTGTGGCTACATATCTATTCACAGACACGCAGGGTGTTCTAGAATAGATGGCGTAAAGTTAGATAATGCGGTGTGCATATGGATTTCATGCATTGTAACATCACTATAGATAACATCAAGCACTGTACAGCATAGCATATCATCTATGCTGATGTGGAGCTATATTGGGAACTTAATGTCCCTAGAGTCAAGTTCAAGGTCCATAAAATCCGACTTAATTGGACGTTTGTCTCTATTCTGTTGACAGGGTTAATGCTAAGTTTGTGTAAAGTAGTGTCTATTTTCATTTGCGCTATGGTTTATGGGGTTGTGTGGAGTTGAATGGATTTTTCCGTGTTGGGGATTTCGGTAGATTGAAGAATAACTTGCTGTTAAAAATTTAATCTATACTTATTTAATACGCAAGCAGGTTTTTTGTGACAATTACTCCTCCGAAACTACTAAACCGATTGACATGTTTTCGGTGTCATTGGAAAGAGCGTAACGTGAAGTTGTGCAGGAAACTTTCTTTTTAGGAAATTAATTAGAGAGTGAAGGCCCTGGGGCCCTTTAAAATTTCTTATTTCTCCATAAGATTAACATGGGAAACAAACATTAATATGAAACTCCAGCTGTTGTCAGAAATTAAAAGTGAGAAGTAAGAAGAAGAACACATATGTTAATTCTAAACAGTCAATGAGTTTGCTAATTTAACAGTTTTCCACAAACATTTACTGACTTGGTTTAAATGAAATCTATATAAATAAAATTTGAGTTTTGTCTGTACATTGCTCAGAATCAAGAATTTTTGGGTTATTTTTACGTTTTATACATTACAGAAGCCGAAACAAGTCTCATCTCAATTTCTGTCTGTCTTTCGTCTGTCACGGCCCAAGAGCCATTTTACGCGGCCTTCTCCTGAAAAACGAGAGTACCTATCAAGATCCGAATCATTTTAATGTATTCTCTCGTGCTGCTCGCTGGACCATACAGTCAATAGACCAATTGCCCATCTCTTGGGTTCGTAGGCCTAAACAATTATTCATAAGTTGGTAGCGCATATACTCAGTGTTCCGTACGGACAGGACAAGAGCACCTTTGATAGTGAAATTTCCAACCTGAATGTTTAATGGCGAGGTTGAGGTATAGTATTTTAACTATATATAGTTTGGTTAGTTAGGTAAGGTTAGCGTAACCTAACTAACCAAACGATATATCTAATTAAACAATCAAATAATCAATATATGAGTATTTCCATAATCTTTGTGTAGAATCTTTTAAAGTCATCAGAAATTATGACTGTTATTCATTTTAAAATAACACCAGTAATACTTAGCAATTGCTCGAATTTGAGCAACAGGTATACTAGTATAAATAAAAGTGTCACCAGCATCAGTAGTAATCTGCTTTCTATCATAGTTTGTGTTTTGTTTGGCCTATTTAAATACAATAGTAAAAACTTTCAACTTTTATAAAAATAGGTTAACTACAGTAAAAAATTAAGAGTGTACTTACTCATCCACTTGCTAATCCTTTTCTTGTTACTATTTTTGGCATAGGATACCTTTTGTATATAGTCAGTAGCTTGTTGATGGTTTGAAACTGGACCCAGCTGTTCCTGATCATTGGGCTTTAAATAAATGACATGGCTAATGAAACAGCTGATCTTAGTCAGTAACAAAGCTACACAGATTCTCTCACACCATTTATACACTTATATTTTTGGGTTAAAATACACACTTAGGTGGCGTCTCCATCTCAATGATTGATAGTAATTTAATTATTTATTATAATTGAATTGATTGGTAGCCCAATGACAAATGGTATCTGGGTTGGTAACAGATTTTACTTGGAATCGAACTAGGAGTGAGCTTCAGATATGAAGGGAAGCACTATGACCACTTTTGGCTACCCAGACAAATAATCTTCTCTTCTCTACTGTACTCTCTTCTACAATAGGTTATTTTTGCAAGTTTTATATAGGCTAGTGTTTAAACCAAAACAATTTGTAATTTTGTAAAAAACATTGTAAAATTGTAGAACCTGTCCTAGCGGAAGAGTGAACCTTCTAAGCCAGGATTATCAATTACCAATTCTACAGACATACATATACTCTCCTAATCCGGTTATCTCCGGGTCTGGGTGTTCACTAGGCCTCTCCATCTTCTTCTATGCCTCCAATTCCTCTTCCTCTACATACTGCCACTGCACTCTTGCTTCCACATCTCCTCTCACCTCCTCAATCCACCTTCTTATAGGTCTTCTTCCGTTCATGTGAAGCTGACTCATTTTTTGGGGGATTCTATCGTTTTCCATTCTTTGGCCGAACCATCATTTTAATCTCGATTTCTCTAATCGTTCTTTCAAACTTTCTTCAATTATTCCTCTTCCCAACTCTTCACACCTAATTCTATCCAAATCTTTTTTTCTCTATAATACCTCTTACAAACTTCATTTCCCCCACCTGAACCCTACTTATTTTATCTTTGTTATTCCAAACATTTGCACCATATGTAACAATCGGTATATAATAAGTTTTATACATGGTAACTTCTGCAGTCTTTGGTATATCTTTATCATGTTCCCTCTTCTAAATAGTTTGACAACAAACAGTCAGTAAACAACAAAATGTCATCTCCATAAGTCAGCTGCAACTAAACTTTAAATTGTCTTTTGCTAACCTTTAAGGATGATTAATTAATCGACCTGATATTTTCCAGTGTTGTTGGAGACCATGGAGGAAGGAAGGTTGAAGACGCAGCACTTCTCCGTAGACTCCATCACGGAGGATTCAGTCATAGACTCTTTGGTGCTCTCCATACAACAGAACAGACCTCAGCCTCACATAGCTCTGTATGTGGACTGTGTCAAACAAGGAGTCCTCAATACTCCGAGGACACTGAGAGATATGTACCTAACAATGAGGAGGCCTAGGCTACAGGTGGTAAGTATTATGTGTTTGTAACACCATTTATGTGAAAGAACAGTCCAAAACATGGTCTCGCCACTAGCTAAAATCTAGCTTTTGTTTCTATAAAACACTAACATATATAATCAAATAACATAACCCTGCCGCAGAAAACCTGCAGACTAAACGAATTTCCATTTACCTGGCTGGATTTCTACTAAAATATTCCCTTAAAATTGTCAGATTTATTTCCTTTTTAAATAACATTGATTTTTAATTACTTAGGTTTTTTTGGCTGCTAAAATGGTTTAGAACAGAAATTGTGGAATAAGTTTTTAGAGTCAAAAATGGGGAAAACTATTTTTACCCTATATTACCTATAAACCAACGTCCACATGCTGATTCACGAATTCGTTTGAATAAATGTAGGTTTACACGTTTGTACCAAATTTCATAAAATCTGACTATTTTTGCTCAAGTTATCTTGCTAACTGACACATATATATGAATTTGAACGGAGGATGTTTTTACGGAGGAAGTAAATCGGTCCCGGGTCTAGGTCTTGCCATGAGACCAATGGTAATAGCTTATTCCCTGTATGGGAAATTTGCTAAAAGTAAACGTAACCTATATGAAATTTTTATACAACTAAAAAGTTAATCTGTGTTTTATGATAAGATAATTATGGTGGTAGAAACAATCTTGTGTGAATTATGAGCACCATTGTCATTTCTGCTCTCGAAATGTATGTACTCCGCTAAAGCTTTGTGCAACCATCTGGTGTGTTCTAGAGCGGCAATAACGTACTTTGCGCTCATTTTGATCATAGGAAATAGAATTAATACCTCTTCTGAATTCTACTGTTTGCGGTGTAAGATAAAATGACTCACTCAAATTGGTTGAGAAGTCGGCAGTTAAAACACTTGACATGAGAAATAGAACTACCTTTTGATTCCCCTTCTGAACCATTCTAATCTGAGTCAGAAACTCAGTCACCATACATGTATTTTATGGAGTTTAGCCAATTTTACGTGCAATAATGATGATCTGTTGTTCCAGTACCACGAGAGGAGGTACACTATCGAGGTAGACTCCAACTCTGCTCTGGAGAAGGTGTTGAACAGGCACAATTGTCCAGACTCAGACGCAAACCAGATGCAGGCTATCGAACCTTCGTCTGACAGAACCAACGAAGTTGTCAGAGGTAATCACCATTAACTATTTTAACATTAGTTTTGTTAGTAATAGGCAATTCTCTAGAGGATTGATTGAATCAAGCTCCCCCCCCCCCCAAGGGGCCCATAAGAACCCAGCCCCTTTTCACGATCTCTGTTTGGTGCCTCAAAGCCCTTAAAACACAATTTGATTAACAAATTACAAGATTCTACATCCTCCTGAGGATGGTGTTTGTCTCTTATCATGGTTCCAAGAGTGCTTTCCATTCCCTCATCCAAAACTATGCATAGATTATCAGCTGTCTCTTTTGACTACCGGTACTGGTACACATTTCCTATATACACTATGCAGTGTCTCCATTGTGGATCCTGATGCGATGTAGGTGCAATCTCAGAAATCCATTGGTGAACATTCCTGTGATATGTCTTAGTTGTCTCCTGTCGTAGAACATTAGAGGCGACTGCCTGAGCATGGGAGTGAGATTGCTTATCCTGTGATAGCCTCGCCAATTTTCTCTTGTGCTCTCCTAAGCCCATGACATGACTCACCGACATATACATGCCCATGAGAGATACCTCAGAAAGACCGTGGTCCTGGTCCCACAAAGTCTGAGGCTGACGCCATATTCGCCTACTTTTCAGCCACCTTGTCCCTTACTGTCCCTGAGTGTCCAAAAACCCAACAGAGAGTTACCGTGTTGAACCTGACCAGAGCAGATAAGGTTTTGAGGCAGTCCTAGACCAGACCACCTTGGACTTGAATTTGGAGGAGTGAAGTGCCTGGAGTACAGCCTGGCTTTTTTTGACAGCGGAAATGTTCGTGTCTCTGAATACATTCCTCGCTTTTTAGACGATTAGTAAAGTTATGAAGATAGTCTTAGGACACGTCTGGAAGATAATAATAATTTAGTTTTTTTGAGAAAGCTAATTGGTACAAGGTATAAGCCTTCATGATTTTATTAAACCCAAAAATTACAACATACATTCACTGAACATTCTGTGTTTGAAGATTAACATTTGAACCACTCTACCTCTTAATATTTCATGATCAGATTTGTTTTCTGAAATTTTCAAATCTTACCGGGAAATTTCAAATACACGTATTTCATAGAGATTTTTAACTGAACATTTTTATGTATCTCTTTTAACTGACGACTAACTTGGCTAACTTGATAGGTTGATGATTTTATTGTATTTTTGCAGTGTTAAATGATTCACTTTCTGTTTCAGGGGACATTCCTATCATCCATGATTGTGATGGTGAGTGTTTGTGGATGTTATCATTAAATAAATTAAATTAGATAAGAGATTAGTTTTTTTTGTTTTTCGAGCTTTTAAGTTAAAACACTTTTTAATGAACGTATTTATTAATTACAACAATTATTATGGTGTAAACCATAAGAGTAGCTAATGTTGAATCACAATTCAACCTGTAGGGCTTTCTTTTTCTGGCCTCCTTCACTAATTGAACTATTTCTTTAAGCCAAAAACTATCAGTTATGGAAACTTGGCAGTTTTTTTTGTTTTTTTTATTCTTGCTTACTTTATTGCAACTTTCAATTAGCACAACTTATGCAATTCTACAATACCTAATGTTTATTGCAGATAACATGTTGGTGAAGGCCATCAACGAACTAGTCAAGGTTGTGAAGAATCTCCGAGAAGAAGTTGAATCTCAGGTATGATAGTTATTTTCTTTATTGTTTTACTAATCTTTTGTGCGTTTTTCCACGAGTAGTATTTAATTTTTCCCTTGTCTAAGTAATTATTATATAGTAAAACCTCACTAACTCGACACCAGCTGACTTAAAAGTCTGTGTACCTAACTCGACAGTCAACACTGCCTTCTTGAGAGTGGCTTCTTCCATAGAAACTAGGTTGTGCTCCTACCACATAACACAAAATACCCCCGCCGCAGCAAACCTGCCGACTAAGCGAATTTCCATTTGTCTGAATTGATTTTCAGTTAAATATATTTTAATAACATTAGGTTTAACGAGTACCTAGGTTTGCGGCTACAAGGAAACTAATAAAGTGTGTTTTGGAGTAAAATATTAATAGCTTAGTACAAAATAAATAAATTTGCCAAGTTTGATCAAAATATATCCATAAACAAGCAAACTACAACATTTGACAATATTCTCCATAAGAATAACATGGGAATTTTAAATTTACAATTTTTTTAATTTTCTCCGTTACTAATAATCGAACAAAAATACTTTTATATAGTAAATTATTTGTTTTTTTAAGCTCTTTAAAAAGGTCTAAAGAGAAATCGGGAAATTTTGTGTTTTGAGGGTCAAAAGTGAGAAAACCCTATTTTTACCCCATAAAACCCCCCGTAAAGCCCCGTTCTAATGGTCCGATCGTGCTGGTTCGCGAACTCATGCAAGTTTATCCCGCTTTACACATTTAAACCAAATTTCATCAAAATTGGACAAAAATTACTCAAGTTATCGCGTTCACGGACGTAGATATATATATATATAAGTCTATATATATATACATATATAAAAATTTGAACGAATGGTGTTTTTGGCCTCTGGGGACATCAAAATGAAAAAGTAAATCGGTCCCGGGTCTAAGTCTTACCGTGCCACCTACGGTAATAGCTACTTCCCTATAGGGAAATTCGCTAAAAAAAAAAAACAGGCCCTCATGGCCCATGGTATGGAGCCTCGCGGGCTCATGGTTGAGGCTTTCTTATATAACATATTTGTTTACCAACATTATGTAAACCATTCCATAAAAAAAGCAAACATAAACATAAAATCAACATAAAAATGCAAAACTAAAAAAATCACGGTTACGGTAACACTTTGTCAATCTGACTACTCCCCACTGATGTACGCAAACTACTGCTGGGGGTTGCAAATTCTCCACTACTAACGTGTCCAGCGAGATGGGAACTAAGCTGGCGTCGGCGGAGAAGAAAAACAAACAACCGGTTTGAGCGCCAAATTAATACCCTTTTAATTTTCAAATATTATGTGGTTTACTATAAGACAATGATTAGATTAGTAAAACTATAGTTTTCAACCAAATATATATTTTTATTTGAGATCTGAGTGATTTATACCTACTTCAACCTACAGTACTACTATTTGCTATCAAAAGAGTATTTAATAGTTATTTGTGTAACTAGTGGTGAAAGTGGCACTTTGCTGCACACGAGAGCAATGTTTACGCACGAGCCGCAGGCGAGTGCGGAATGATCTCGAGTGCAGCAAAGGCCTTTTTCACTCGTGTTACACATTATATTTTTCCTACAGTCACTATAAAACATAAATAATTAGTCTTTCAAACACTATACAACACGTTTTTAGGTTCAGCTAGCAACACAATTACACAAATGGTGCCCTGGAGAAAGTAGTACCCGTGGTCCGTATCACTCCGCTATTTTTCCTCGGCAAGAAATGTGCTCCGTCTTTTGAGAATATAGTTCCGTATGTTTTTGTAATTTGAAGTGGTTTCCGCGCCTAAAAAAAATGCTTTAAAGGTATTTTCTTGTTTATTAAGACCGTAGGAATGTTTTAAAAACGTTTAAAAGAAAAGTCCAGAAAGTTCAGAAATACCAAAACTATAAACACGAAATGACAGGTTAAATCGTAGTTATAATAGTCAATCAGCTGTTCATAGTATTATTATCTTTAAGTGTTGCCAACCTATTTCCAAGCGTACACGGATTACGTGCATAATAAAACCACGCTGTTTTGTGTTGTTTGGTTGGAATCCTGATGTGCGGCAAAGTATAAACCGTGCGGCAAAGTATAAACCGTGCGGCAAAGTATAAATATGCAGCAATTAGCAGCTTTCTGTACTATAAACAGTACAGGGAAGCCAACTTTGTCGGGTGACTGTAGGAAAAATCAATTTTCATCAACTGTTTTGTCTCTTGTTTACATTCTGACTGTGGTTAATCCTTAAGAACAATCAGCTGTTAAATTACAATTCACATTAAAGCCTAAGGACAGTTGATCAGCTGCACTGGGTTTTTTAAAGCACTCTCAAGAAATGAAAGGCTAGGGTCGCAAAGCCCTGAAGGAAATTACGTTTTTAATACCAATCGCAGGTGCGCTAGATCATAAACTTTAAAAAACACCTCAATCATCAAAAACGGTTAAGTAAGACAGATGGAAAACAAGATACGGAGAAAACCCTTACTGTATTAGGTATATAGATTTTGCAGCCTGACAGTGTTCCAAATAGTTTATTGTCCTATCTACTTACCTATGGTTTACATTTACATCAGACAACCATGTTTTGTTGACAGAAAGTGGAGACGCACAAACTTCGCCAGATCCTAGAGGAGTGCGACCTTTGCCAACCAGGTGAGGGTTGAACTACTACCGCAACCACAACCACAACCATCTTACCAAGGCTGGATACCCCCACCCGTACTTACCTCGTCCTAACCTGTACGTTTACGATTTGTAACTTTTTATCAAATACACGTTGATTACTCACTCGAAATGTGTGAATTTATTCAAACCCGGGTTTTCCACTCATCCAGCCTTGGTAATTTGGTTTGTGTTTGCTTATGAAATATTTAGGATATTTCAAACTGTCGGTTTTTGTTTTTGTTAAAGTGGTTTTAAATCAAGGCTGGAAGGGGAAAACAAGGGGTACCTATAACTCCTAATTTCTTAGTTATATTAGAATAAGAAGAAATATTTTTAGTACTTTTTTCTAATGGGTTTGAATATGTTATGGATTGTAATAAAAAAAAATTATAGTTGGGTTATTTTGAGTTTTGTCAATCCTAAATTCTTTTTTAAGCTTAATATAATCATTTTATAGCAAAAAAAACCATAAAGTTGTACAGTTTTACATATTTTATATAAACTGGAACTTGTTTGTTCTCTTCATTTTATGTTCTTTGTTTAGTGAAGGTATAAGAACTTTCTACTCGTAGAGTAAAAAAGCTAGATGGGAAAACATGATACTACTCATCAAAGATATGAAAGATGATTTTTTAAAATTTAAATTGTAACAACATTTGATGCAGAGTATTATCAATGGTTTTTATAAATGATAGTGATTAAGTTTGTGTGAAATTTAAGTAAAACAATTGGCAAGTTTGACCATTAATGACTATAGTCAGTGGATTTACTTAGGATTCTTCTCTAGACCTACAGGAGTTTTACAGGTATACACTTTTTTCCACAGAGTAATATTTCATGATGTACACTATATGGACAGTAAAATGTAATAGGTTATCTTATTGTTATAAAGAAAAGAAATATCATTCGTGGAATATGCTAAATATAGAGTATAGTGGCAAATGTTCAGGAGAAAAAGGTCACTTTTGCATTAAACAGATTTAAACAAAGTATTCTTGTAAGCTACCAACACTTTTATACACGTTTCTTAGTATATCTATCAACTGCCAATGAATTTCCGAGCTGAAGGTATGATTTTTAAAACCAAAATAATTTAATCACAGACCACAGTACATACTTGGTTAGAGCGTAGACATTCACTGCCTTCATTGCCGGCTACTACGATACTGAGCTTCGTAAAGGATTGGGGACTGGCTATAGTAGTATTGAGGGAAGAACCTGTAGCTAGTGATTTGTACTACCTTACTCTGACACAACAGATCGTTAAGACCTTTACTTACAAAAAAAACCTTCGTAATTTAAAAAAAAACCGCAGGTTCTTGAAATAAATTTAAAATTGAATCAATTTCCTCAAGGAAGGGAATACAGATACCTAAATCCTCGATCCTCTGGCACAATAACTCCATCAACATAAACATAATTTATTAAATAACTTCTTGATCAGCATTCTACGTGTTATTAAATTTACGGAAAGTAAATAAAAGAAACGTCTTATAACACTTAAAACATATATTTACGCTTATACTGTTACTCACAAGACGGTAAATATACAAAAAAGATGGTAAGTGGTGATCGATTTCGATTGGACACTCCAATCATCATCAGACCCAATAGGCGAATCTTTCGCGAGAGATTCGCCTATTGGGTCTGATGATGATTGGAGTGTCCAATCGAAATCGATCACCACTTACCATCTTTTTTGTATATTTACCGTCTTGTGAGTACAGTAGAACTCCGATTATCCGAATCAATAGGGACCAGACCCCATTCGGATAATCAAATATTCGGATAATCGGAGTTTTACCGGAATTCCGGGAATTTTAAAGATAAATCCTAATTTTCAGTACTAAGTGAACTTTTAATTAATAATAAATGAAATCAGAACATTTTTACAGTTTACAATGCCCTTAGTACAAGTGTTCTATACATGTTATTAAGTTAATAGTTTAGCCAGTGTGTAATTTTGGTGTTCCATCCAAGTCCAAAATTACACACTGGCTAAATGTGTTTAATAACAATTCTTTGATATTTTGCAAAACTTATTACTGTAGCTTTACGATTTAAAATTGTTGAAGTAAGCGATTCGGATAATCGGAGATTCGGTTAATTGGAGTTCGGATAATTGGAGTTCTACTGTAACGGTATAAGCGTAAATATATGTTTTAAGTGTTATGAGACGTTTCTTTTATTTACTTTCCATAATTTATTCACAACCTCATATTTTCTAACCCCATTGGTGAATCAAATACCTTGAGTGAATGTTCCTGAAGTAAAATTAAAAGTCAATATATTAATTTTGGCAAGATTTTATTTTATATCCTACATCCTTATCACAACAAACACCCCCGCCACTTCCACTGTCCTATCATTACAACTACCCATGTTCAGGCAGACCACCCCGTATCACATGTCGCAGCAACCCCCCGCCATGCTTCCCCGGTGTGGAGTGTAGAGACGCCCCCGACGGGCCCCGCTGTGGAAGATGTCCTCAAGGCTACGTAGGCGACGGCAAACGCTGCAAACCTGGCAGAACTTGTAACGAGCGACCCTGTGCCCCTGGTAAGTCTGAATGTACTTTAATCTGTTGAAAAATACACCAATGTGCAATGGAGAGAACTCAGCTTGCCCCATCCAGATTTGCTGAGACACTTAAGTTTGTGTAAATATAATTTCATCATTTCGCAAGTGTCTCAATTATATTGTTACCACTTTGTACTGGATCTTAAGAAAGGGTTGGTAATCAGCAAAAGAGGATTTGTAAATCCTTTTTGTTGGATGAAGAGATTAATTTGTTTGTTGGTTCAACTCTTTGAGGCACAACACACTTTGAGGTAGTATTTTGTGTGGATCATCCTCCAGGGATACTTTTCAAGACATTTTTAAAGTTGAGATTAGAATCTTGAGCCAAGGAATGGATGGATTTGATTTTTAATTTTTGGGAAAGAGATGAAGGAATGGTGGTATATGTCAAATTGGTTTACATTCCTAGATGATATGATCAATTGAATTTTTCACGAAATAAGTTTAAAATGAGTTTGGTCTTGAAAACAATATATTCAGTTATTTTTGTCAGTTGAGACAATTTCCACAAAGTTTTGTTATGAATTGAAATTAGAAGAGAATCACTTGACTGCTGTTTGTAAAACAATTTTTTTGTCACAGGAGTAAGATGCTACGACACAGTTGAAGGTTTCCAATGTGGCCCGTGCCCGGCTGGGATGGTGGGAGACGGTCAACGATGCAAGCCCAGGGGAGGATGTGACTTGAAACCTTGCTCCGAAGGTGAATAATCAAGAATATCAAACTTATAATCTTTTCAGTTGAGTTCTTCAGAAATAGAAGTGTCATACTCTGTGTATTAGTAGAGTTGATTACAATCCGAATCCGGTAAACCTCCTTTTCTGGAAGGTAAAGTTGAAAACCAGCCATTTAGAAATGGACGAGAGGTCGTCCAGTGGTCGAAACTCGACCAAAAATATGTAATGTACTCACTTCTCTATTTTCACCCCACACTGTAAATAAAACATGTGATTGGAGTTTCTTCCATTTGTTTTGATTTTCTGTTTATATTTCGTTGTTATTTCGTCACCAGCATGGCAACGCATAAGATCCATGTTAATTTTTCAAATTTTTAAACTCATTTTTTGTGCTTATCTTTGAGCCTATTTAAATTTATAAAGGGATTCTGCACACCTACAGGAAAATTGCTTTCTAACGGTATGCGCAGATTTACCCCACGATGCACACAAGCTGAGAAAAAAGGTTTTAAAGAAACATGCTTGCCTATTAATATATAGATAGATGTTTGGTATTTTTTAAATTTGTTACCCTATTGGGTTACCCTAAACCTCTTTTACTAGCTTGTACTATAGCTTTTACGTATAGCTCTATACAATATTAGACATTAGGCACTCATCAAAATATACTTTTGATTTTACAACAGGTTCATTTAAGTCTATTCTTCCAATCAATGCTAATATTCTTTTTCTTCGTTTCCAGGTGTTCAGTGCCAGAATCTGCCTGACCCTCCATACTACAGATGCGGTGCATGTCCTGCCGGCCTCACTGGGAACGGTACCAACTGCCACGACTTGGACGAGGTAAACTTTATCTATTGCGTTAGTCTCAATTATTTGTCTATCAGTTATCCGATCTTCCCTATGGACAATCGAGTACCACAGAGAAGTAGGTACAGAGGAAACTTGATTATGGGATGAACGAGCGCTTTCAGCTCTGGTATGTTGTGCCGAAAATATACTTGTGACACACAAGGAAGAGAACATGTTTACGATGGCTTTGATTATTTTCTTCTGTTATATGAAATTTTTGCTTGTACAACCACATCCTGGTCAGATTAGTTAGGATTAGGACCCTTAATTATTTGAATTTTTATTAAATTATGATTTTTAACAGTCAACTTTCTCAATATCCACCAAAGTTCCATTCTCTAACACGAAACACGATCTTTCACTTGCAGTGCGACCTGGCCGAACCTTGTTTCCCTGGAGCTCGTTGCACCAACTTGCGCCCCGGCTACCGCTGTGGCCCGTGTCCTGCGGGATTCACAGGATCCTCCGGAGTGGAGGGGGCAGGAATGGATGCAGCCTACCGCAACAAACAACGGTGCTACGACATTGACGAGTGCGGGGACGGAAGGAATGGAGGCTGCGCACCTAACAGCGTCTGTATCAACACTGAGGTAAGATTCTTCTGGCTATTGTTTAGCAGAGAACAAGTTGGGTATGTTGATTTAAAACTGATTTGAAATTATTAAATAAAAAAGAACAAGAATAATTTTCATCATAGTAAACTGCATGTTCAGGGCTCCCCTTCAAATTTGAAGGTTCCTGATTCTATGAAAATCGATCATTGAGCTGTCAATCATCCGTTTCCTAACAAAAACTTAATAAGTTCCTATGGCGGCAAAACGCTCATATACAGGAAAGAGAAACATTAGTTTCCAATCTAGGTCATACTACAAGATTGAAGTATTAACGATAGTGACTTCCCTGGAGTTTGTAAGTATCTTGCTGGTCTAGTGACTACTGTATAAAAAATGTACACAAGAAGAATGGATGCAATTTTTTCTTTACAATCTGTCTTTGAGAGGCTTAAATTGACTTCCAATAAAAGTGTTTTTGTTCACAAGCAATAAAATGTGTCTTGTGGAAAAAGTTTGTTAATAAACAACCAACTTTTTTCAGGGTTCCTTCCGATGCGGTGGTTGTGTTTCCGGTTTTGTTGGCAACCAAACAGTTGGATGTCACAACCGTCCCGGGCTGTGTCCGGATGGGACTCAATGTGACACCAACGCTCAGTGTTACCGCACAACCATGAACACTTACGGTTGCCGGGTATGTATATACATTTGGGATTAATGTCCAAGTAAATTATTGCGCGTATGTGTATTGTATATTGTTTTACATGATATCCTCTATTCATTCAGATGATTGTGAAGTTATTGTACTTTAAACAACTGTTCCAATATAGTTTTGCATAATACATTTACCTTAATTTTCAACCCATTTTTCCTTGGTCAATACAAATAAATGTTCATCCAACTACGGGATTTTGTTTTATATATTTTAATTTGATTTATGGTGTAGAATAAGTCAGTAGCTTTATCCAAAACAGGAACACCATGTCAAACGGCTCAAGTTGAATTAAATTACAGAAATTCAAATTAAAGCGAACTTTTGATTTTTTACTGTATCTGCTCATACTTTTGCATGACACTTTTCATGTTCAGTTTGGGAGGTCTGAGTGGACAAACAAATGTAAGGCTAAAGCCAAAGACACTGCTAACCTTAAGAAAATGTAACTTTTAACAGAGGTAAGAGTCAACAGTGTTTTTAAACACGATAGGGTTTTGATTCACTTCTTAGGAGAAATGTACAGCTGTAGATAATATTTTTGTGACATTAACTTTTCTGTCTAGTGCAAAACCGGCTGGGCTGGTGACGGACGGATGTGTGGCCCTGACAGAGACTTGGACGGGTTTCCAGACTACGACCTCGGCTGTACCCACAGCAGGTGCAGAAAGGTAACTTGCGACCTTCCTGTAACCACGCTATATCGTACCATACACATACATTACTTGTATGAGTCATTGAATTTAGCAGTTCAGTGGTTCACTAGATCAGTAGTATCAGTCATCTTGGGCAATCAAAACATTGACGTCAGCAGAGCATCTCCGAACACATTAGAGATGAGTGTTATTTAACGTTATTGGATAAAATAACACTGTGGCTGAAGCCTGGTAATAGATTACTGAGAATACCCTATTATTTTAGCAAAGTCATCTGAACTGTCTGAACAAACTAATGAAAATAACTATTCCCCTGATCAAGTCTGCATCAAAATAATAGCTACAGTAGAGTCCCGTTAGTCGGAAATGGTTGGGACCGGGCCCATTTCGGATTAAAAGTTTTTTTTTTTTTAATTTTTTTTTTTTTTTTTTTTTTTTTTTTTTGTCTTAGGACGCAGGCACGAGCCCGGGATTGTTTTTCACATTACTTAAGGCTAGACCTAGTGGCTGCAGCATTATCACTTAATAAAGTCTATTTGTGATTAGGCGGGATTGGAACTCCCCGCCAACAATCCAATCAATAATTTTAATAATTAATTAATTTAAATAATTTTAATAATAATTTTGTTGTTGTGTTTGAAAATGAAAAATGTTAATAACAAAAATGGTGAAATATTTAATAAAATACTCTTCAAAAAAAGTCTATCTCGCCCAGCCGCTACAGAATACTTTGACGAGGTACAGCTAACTGTGTTAAAAGTTTGATAAAAAAATTTCAAAAAATCTTCAAAAATTTTTGAAATTTTATTTTTTTTATAAAAAAAATGTTTTTTGGTTTCAGATTAAGCGGACTTTCGGATGACCGAAGTTCAGATTATCGGGACTCTACTGTAGTATCATAATCTAATCATTCAGTTCAAAAAGGGGAGGAAAACTCAACTAGCACTGCATCAAAGTTAGACAATAACATTTTAGTTAAACGCCATGACACACTTGATGTCCTTTCTTTTACTTTGTACTAATTTCACCAAAAGATCATGCGGAACATTGTAAGTCAACGAAGATAAGATTGTAAAACTGGTTGTTACCAGTACTAGTTTTATTATGTTACCTACTTAAAGAACTAAATGTTTTTGTGTTTTCTTATATAGTTGCCAAAGGATGTCTCTAAAATGTTTATAATTTTAGGACAACTGTGTGGATGTCCCGAACTCTGGACAGGAGGACGCGGACGGAGACAAGATAGGAGACACTTGTGACCCTGACGCTGACAATGACGGAATACCTAACAGATCTGTGAGTCACAGGGATATTACAATGTTTTAGTAGAAAATTGTGAAGTAGGTCTATGCGCTTGACGTTTAAAAAACTATAATTTTGATGTCAATTTAGTTCTTATAAAAGATGACTGTTTAACGAACAATAAGGTCATGACAACTTTCAACTATCAACAGGGCCGTATTTAGAATCTATGAAGTCCCCGGCGACTCACACCTGAGAATCTTTCTATTGTTTTGTTTTGATTCTTCAGTGGCTATAGCCTTACTTCTCTGGCTGGAGCTTAGGGGGTTTGGAATACACGTGTTGTTGATTGTCGGACTCATTTGCACCTAACGTATGCCAATCAATCGTGACTGCTAAACAAGCAAAAATGGCATAAGAGTGTACAAAAATTTGTTTAGACCTCAAAAAATTCCAAATTATTTAAAGTGCAAGACCAATGGATGCCATGGTTAGTGGACTTTTATATTTGACTATTGTAGAGCCAGATTCCATCCTTATGTTAAAGTTGTCGACAGTTTATTCAAAATATACGCAGTTAAATTGACCCACTGATAGATTGGGCTGACGTAGATTATTGATTTCTCTTGCATATATTTTTTAACCAAGTGAAACTTATAGCATGACTTATTGTAAGCTCTAGAGCATCTTTTTCGACACTAAAGCGCAATCTGTGACTGGCTTACTCAACTACTTTCGTATTGATAAATTAGCGACAGCTGGTCCCGATGGGATGTCTCCTTCAGTAAACAATAGTCAATGGTCTTGTCTATGCTAATGTACCAAATGTCCAGGACAACTGTCTCCTGGTACACAACCCAGATCAGTCGGACACCGACACTGGTACTCCAGACAAGCAGGGTGATGCTTGTGACAACTGTCCTACCATCGCCAATCCGAACCAGGAGAATGTGGACAAGGATCAGTTCGGAGACGCTTGCGACCCTGATATCGACAATGACGGTGAGTTCTCCCATTATACCCAAGAATTTTTTTCAGCCTCGCCAACAAACTATATAATTTCCAATGACAATCATGTTGGATTCTCTTTTGTGGCTATACCCATCTCCGAAACCCATGAAGTAATCTTACCTCACCAGGCTTGCCACCTTTAGTTGGGGAAAGACTAGGACCCCCCCCCCCTCCACCACGATAAACACAGACAAACAAGGACAAAAGGGTCCGAACTCAGTCGGGACTGTCCCAAAAGAACCAGGATGGGTGGCAACGCTGCAACTAACCAATAATCTGTATCCTTTTATACTGATCTTGTACATCTTCTCCCTTGAAACATACATACATACCTCATACATCCTTGGCTCCTTCATCATTTCACCTTTCCACCTCTTCTTTAGGCCTCCAAGAAATTTTCTTCCATCAAATTTTTCCTCCGTGGTAGTTCATTGCAGATTCACCTTTCTTCATTTGATCATGTAGTTTGTTGTTCTTGTCACTCTTGTTAGCAACAACTAATGTTATCATTGACCTTGAAATCTGTGTGATAATTTTGTAAAACTAAGGTCTCCAAGATAAATTGATTTAGCTGACATTTTGGCTTTTGATTTAAATGCCTAAGTTATTTGTGCAATGGCCAGTGTAACTTTATTAGAGACCAAATCAGCTGTTTTTAACCAGGACCAATTAAAAGTAATATTATTAAGAACAACTGGGCCCACTTGCAATATAATTAATTGCCTAGTGTTTTGCAGATAAAACACACCGTTGGATATCTCATCTGACATCAATGTTTCAGGGATACCCAACCATCTGGACAATTGTCCGCGTCGTGCAAACTCTGACCAGCGAGACCAGGACGGAGACGGACTGGGCGACCCTTGCGACAACTGTCCGAACATTCCCAACAGAGATCAGACCGACACTGACGACGATCACGTCGGGGACGAGTGTGACAATGACATCGACAGAGACAGGTGCGATAACACAAAAACTAACTAGTTCATGAACAAAATAAACTTTTTGTCAAGGATTATGTCGTTGGAGTGAATTGTGGTACTCACATTTGAATGCTAGATTTTTATAACTGAATTTATTTGATCAGATAATGATGTGGTGCTAACATTATAACTTGCAGTACATAAAAATAAATTATTCAGATCACAACCATTTATTTAACTTAAACGTCTAACTTAAACTTAAACTCCTAAATAGTCATACTTATTTTGTTTTTTACTGATCATGATGAAAAATATCTGTAAACCCCTAAATTACTGTATGTATTCACTAGAAACCTCCTTCATGAGTCGAAAATTGTACATTTTTAGAAATATATTTATAAAACATCTCTGGATGTTATGTTGACAGGGATGGTATCCAGGACAGTGCAGACAACTGCCCCGCCATTCCTAACAGTGATCAGCTGGATACAGATGGGGACGGGCGGGGGGATGCCTGCGACCCTGACAGAGACGGTGACGGAATACCCAACGAACAAGACAACTGTCCCCTTGCGTACAACCCAAGTCAGGAGGATCTGGATGGTTAGATCAACTTTTGACTATTGATATGTAGTTTAACTTTCCATATCCATTGTTGTTGCTCGTTTTACCATAAAAATGGACATAGTTGATTTGAGCCACTGACAAAAGCACTGACATTTACGGAAACATTTTAACCAAGTCAAACTGATAATTTATTGTAAGATAAAGCTCCGTAAACAACTCATTAAAAAAAGCTAAGGGAGGAACTAGAATTTTAGATTATAGCACTCTGTGATGATCAAGTTAACACTTAACTTTCGATTCAATTTTAGGGGACGGTGTCGGCGACATCTGCGATGGGGACTGGGATTTGGACAAAGTTCCCAACTATTTGGACAATTGCCCCAACAACTCAAAGATTTTCTCCACTGACTTTAGGTGAGATTAATTTATTGGTAATCCAAGGCATCAGAGTAAATAACATTCATGTTTTTTCATACAATAAATTTAAAAAATGTATCACTTAAGCTCAAATTAATTATTGTTCTTGAATCAATCCAACGCTGATATTCAGAATTTCTGTCAGTGCAAGATAAAAATATGAACGAACAAAGAATATATATTTGCCTGCCAGAAGTTACTTGAGTTGGATTTAACCGCTTTTGAAAACCCTTCCAGTTAAGTTTGATAAGTTGTTTGAGCACACTACATAGAAAGTCCATGCTAATTTTTTTAGTTTTTAGTTTTTTAATTTTGAGTTTTTGGTCCAAAAATTATGAAGGTCCCTTTTCCAAAGGGCTAACAGGGAAAATATTTTTAGTACTGTATTGATATTTTTATGGATATATTTCACATTGAATTACTTTTTCCCAACTTATATAATAACAATTCATTTTGCTATATTTAAAATGTAAGTTAACAGTGTGAATAAAAACGTAACATTAACTTAAACTACTCTTAACTTCAAAAAGTAAAAAAATTCCTAATTATATCATTTTTAAACAGAACTTTTAAAGAAAATATGAACGAAAATAATGAAAATGAAGAAAATATATGAGAACTAGCTAGAAAGGGAAGATTTTGGTACATTTTTTAAATTATATAACTTGGTCCAGCTTATTCTTATTTTGAACAAATTAGAAAAAAAAACAAAAGCCATTGCAATTATTAGTTCATAACATGTTTGACAGCATCAACTCTAAACTCATGCAAGATGTCGAGCATACAATTTTTGCTTATACAACATTGAACATTGATAATGGGTTCAAAGTTTACAATTATCAATAAATATTTGATCTGCAGGACGTACCAGACGGTGGTTTTAGACCCTGAAGGCGAGTCCCAAGTAGACCCGGAATGGGTCATCTACAACAAAGGTGCAGAAATCGTACAAACTGTAAACAGTGATCCGGGATTGGCTATTGGTAAGCTCCTGATTAAATCTGTGGAGATTATACTGGTCGCCCAGAAAACTAGCTCGTTAAAACTCTTACTTCGTCACAATACTTCATAAGAATACCCCTAGTATATTTCCCATTGAACTGATTGAAGTAAATAGTAGAGCTTCTAGTAGAAATAACATTTTGGAAACTCCATACCGTCAATAGAAATTTCAATGCTCTTATTTATTTTATTTTTAACTGATTTATAAGTCTTAGGAATGGAGATTTTAGTCTTAAAATCCCTAGTCTCTTATTTCAGACTCTTCAAATGCACAGCCCTATATGAATGTAGTAGGCCTATTTTCTGTATCATAGTTAAATTCTAAGTTCCTTGATAAAACACAATCTGGTGGGACAGTGTGTAATAATAACAAATTCTTGTAAAAATATTAGTACAGTAGTATTATAGTTGACTGTTTTTTAACACTTGCACTTTAAATGTCAAGTATTCTCATCTTTAAATTGAACTATTCAAACCTATTATTTTTTACTTAGTTAATACTTAATAGTATACATTATCAATTAAGCATTTGGCAAGGTGGTTTCTAGGTTAATAGTTTCTATCTGAAATAGTGATGGTTTATCATAGGTTACGATGCTTTTGGAGGTGTCGACTTTGAAGGGACATTTTTTGTCGATACTGAGATTGACGATGACTACATCGGATTTGTTTTCAGGTGAGCTCTTAAGTTACCACTATTTTTCAAAATTGGTTAAGTTTATTTTTATACAGTAGAACCCCTCATATCCGGCCTTGGTTTTACCGGTCCTCTGTTTATCCGGTCCCTTCCAGGAAGCCAATATCAAAATTTTTTGTCTCACAGCTTACATACGTTTAGATGCAGCCACTAGTCTTTGTGACTGCTCAAGTCATAAAATAAATTGTTCTCATTATTTATCTGTTTGTTTATACATTTATTTGCTGAGTCACTATACTCAGTTGAGCTAGTAGGTCTAACCTCTGAACAGTTGGTTGATTATTTCCAAAGTGGGGTTAGTACAGTACAGTACGAGTACATTAATTTTTGTATTTCATATGGTTAAGAATGTTGAGTAGAAATGCATGTACCATTTAAGTCCTAATGATCTTTAAGTACAATTTATTGTCATTTTTACCTCCATTTAATAGGTTTTGTTACCTGGAATCATAATATTTGTACATTCATTACTTAATGACTTTAACATACAAATTTTTTTTCTTTTTACAAACATGTTTAATTTTCTAAAAATGATCCCAGAACAGAATTAAATTATACTTTTGATTGCATATATTGATTACCTATTATTATTAGGTATGAATTATCATTTTCATAGTAGGTTGGTTTATCCGGCCAAATCGTTATCCATTCAGGGGCTTGGTCCCGTGGTGGCCGGATATGAGGGGTTCTACTGTACCACTTTTAATATCATCCACAATTTGTATCAGAGTCCAGAAGTTTTAGGCATTGATATTACCATAGATAAATAATATTTCCTTAGTAGATTTCTCATCCTTATGGAACAGCTGAAGGCAATTTTATTGTTAGTTCTGTCCGGTGCACTGTAGATGTCGTATTTTGTTTACAATTTGTTTATTGTTATTTTAGTCATCTAAAACCTTGTTTAGTCAAATAAATCAATATAATCATAAACAATAACTCGTTCCTAAGTTATGTAACCAAACAGTAAAGCTCAAAACAAAGAAATCTGTATAAATAAAATTAGAATTTTGTCTGTACATTGTTCAGCCGAAACAAGTCTTATCTCAATAAATTGTCTGTCTGTCTGTCATGGCCCAGAAGGCATTTTACACTGCCTTTTCCTGAAAAACGAGAGCATCAATCAGGATTCAGAAAGTCTTTTTGTATTCACTGGATTGGCGAGAGTGTCTTTAGTATTTAAAATATGACCTCACAACTTTTGAAATAAAATAATGGACGTTCAAAAACCCAGTTTTGTGAGTTTTTCAAGTCTTCTCTTGTTTACCATATAATATATTACATCATTTATGAAATACTCATATATTTATGAATACGACATCTGTGAAGATGAAGTAACAAACAGCGGTTTGGATAAAGATGATTTTTTCTAGCTGTCACTGGATATGTTTACATTAAATGTTGTTTACAAATACTGCAACCATTTCCAATCACATTTTGTAAGAAAATCCAAAACCAAGTGAAATTAAAAACAAAAACGTGTTGCCTTACGATGTTTTCATGATATTTCCACTATTCTTCATCTCTTTTCACAGCTATCAAGACAATCACAAGTTTTACACTGTGATGTGGAAGAAGAACGAACAAACGTACTGGTCGACAACACCTTTCCGAGCAGTAGCGGAGACGGGAATACAGATCAAGGTGGTCCAGTCGTCCACAGGTCCCGGGGAAATGTTGCGGAACTCTCTGTGGCACACTGGCGACACGGAGAATCAGGTAGAAACTTAGAAACATTATGTAGTAATAGTAATTGAATAGTTATCGAAGACTAAATTGTGTTCGATATGTGGTTGTTTAAGGCTTAATACAAGTGCAGGATGAATCTAGAGCCAACTGAGTTTTTTTTAAGCTTTCGCAAAAAAATACTAAAGACAATTATATGCATCGTGCAGTTTTTTCTTCAACTAAAAATTTGCACCCTTATGTGCACTTGGTGTATGGCGTGTGTGTGAACCAGTGCAGGCATTGTCCTGTACCTGAGAAATTTATCCTTGAAACTCTTGCCCACGTTCTTGGAAAGTGTCATTTAGTAGTCTCACCCGCCACCATTTGATCACAAAAATCATTGCTGATCAATTCCCAAAGAAAGTTACGAGTTATGAAGAGGTCACAGCTATAGAAGAAGAGGGCTCTGTGGGGCGGAGTGACATTACTGCTATAGACAAGGGGAGAGATTACGGTCTTGTTATTTACCCAACAGTTCGTCTCGAGACAAACGAAAGTCAGCCAAAGGAAGCTCATGAAGAAAAAGTGAAGACTGTATAAGAAAACTATCTCCTATTATTTGAAAAAATAAAGAGTATCCAAATTTGAAGTTTATGGATTATTGGTTGAAGAGGAACGATTCCTAAAGAAGTCCAGCAGTTTTGGAAGAAATTCAATTTGAAAAATAAAGTGTTACATCTAATATCTTTGACAGCCATAAAATTTTCTATTAACATTATAAGAAACAACCTTTAATAAATTTGAATTTATATAATTAGCCTATATACATTTTACATATTGATTTATTTGTCAAAATGACTTTGAAGACATTTACAAAATTAATGAAATGTAAAAGATGAATTAGATGGAGATGAATGGTGCAACTTCTAGTGTACTTGACTGTGCTATCGCGGCTTTTGTTCATGACTACAGATGGTCTGAGAAACCCCATTGGCTTACAATCTCATACTATTAGGTTACGTTGACACAAAATATAATTTACTTTTGAAAAATTCTAAACTAAGTGGGATATAAGATTGTAGAAACATTTATTGTTCACTATTTTTATACGACATATTTCCAAATGATTGTGGTTAACTTACCATGTTTTCTTTCAGGTTCGACTGCTGTGGAAGGACCCCAAGAATGTCGGATGGAGAGAGAAAGTCGCTTATCGGTGGCTGTTGCTGCATAGACCTCACATCGGCCTTATACGATTGAGGATGTTCCAGGGTGAGTTAGAAATATGGCCACCCTCATTGTTTCCATCACCCCCATTAAAGCTGGGTTTTCTTAAGTTAAGAAGATAAGAGGGGAGTCCACTCACCTCTAGCTGGTTTTAGGTAATTTAATGGTAATGTTTTCCTAGAAGCCGAGGGGACTGACACTGGAGGAGCGGAAAATCACTTCTCCCCACTCTTCTCTCCCTGTTTCACTTCTGCGCCTAGGAAAACCCAAATTAACTCAACATTTGGAAACTAATAATACAGGGTGAATCATACCACCCGTGCACTACGGTTTGGCCCAACAAGCGTTAAAAAAATCTTTTTTATTGAAAATCCGCCACCATATATTTTTTTAATGGGTTACAATTTTGAATTGCCACTTTAGGCAGTTTTCTTTCAATGTTGGGATCATTAAAAGTAGAAATTGATGTCCGAAAAGTAATTAAAAACAGGTTGAAAATCCATGGCATTTTACGAATTTTAGAAGTAGGGTGTTTTTTTAAGGTTAAGGAGTGAGATTTTCAAAAAACCTTAAGGGGGTCTTGTCAAAAATTTAATTCTTGACCATGAAAATTCTTTAAAATATTTGCTAGCTCTTACCGTTTGAGCTACGTGTTTTTTTTTTTTTTTTCAAAAAAAGGGAGGTTTAAGGGAATTTTTTTTGGGTGTTGTAATTTGAAAAGGTTACTTTTTGGGATTTCCTGAGTGGTTTGGGACCGAGATGGACCTCCACAACAAATTTCAGACCCTTAGATATTCTAGAAGTGGCATTTGTATCAAATGGTCATTGAGTTACACAAGCGGCTGTATATTCCGTTAAAGTATGTGCACGGGTGGTCTGATTCACCCTGTATATAATCACATTTAATTTATTACAACTACCTGGTGCTGGGATCTGTTCATCTAACAGTAAACGTAAAGAGATGTAACATTAAACCCTTATGTTTTTAAGATTTTTGTCTGAATAGACTTACCTTTGCAAAAGATCTTACAAACCAAAGTTTCCTTAGTCTATAGGATTGATAGATAAATAAACCATGCTCAGGTACCACGATGGTGGTCGACTCTGGGAACGTGTTTGACTCCACGCTGAAGGGCGGACGTCTTGGTGTGTTCTGCTTCTCACAAGAAATGATTATCTGGTCAGACCTCGTCTATAGGTGTAATGGTGAGTCTCAACTTGTATCAGCTGTTATGGTAGAAACAATAGGACGTTAACAGTGTCTGTCATGGAAATTTTAGTTTAGACTGAAAAATATCCAGTTTACTTTTAGACGCTTGGACAATCGATGAGAAACGTGTTTTGTAGCAGTTAGAAGAAAAACTGAAATTCGGCTTGGAATTTTATTTTGAAGGCTAATTCAGTTTAGAGAGAGCGTCCTTTCTTTCTTCTAGGTTTAGGTTCACGGTATGAGTTACGTATAATTGTCTGCTCAACAACACAACCTAACCACACCCCAACAGACAATTACTGTTACCTAGCCTAGTGCTTTCAATTGTTGTATTCTAAAAGCATCTATTCAAAAGTTTCTTTCTTAATTACTTAACTTACCTGAATAATGTTGTACGAAGTTTGAATTTCGCTCTTTTTGTCAGATTTGAAAGGTCAATGACAATGAGTTTAGTTTCCAAAACTGTGTCACAATCCGAAGAAATTAAATGATTATTGACTACAAATTAAAATCCTATGCCAAAGCAAAACAAAAGCTCTGTCACATTCTAAAACAAAATGTCTTCGCATACTAATGTAAAACAAAATGGTATTTATTGTTTAAATATATTCAATTTGATTTTCAGACAACGTCCCAGAAACTGTTTACCGAGAATTGCCACCCAACTTGCAGAAAGACGTTCAGGTCGATCACAGTCTTCCTCCGCAACAAAGACTCGAGGGATGAACAGCGGAAATGCTTCACGACAAACTAAACATTTCTTGAATGGTATCTGTCTTGGGTAGTAGCATGGCGAATTAATAGTGCTACAATGGTTCTAACTACAACTTTAGATCCTCTTGAATTTACATATATGCTAAAGTAAGAATAGTAGCATTTATCAAACATACTTAGCGTTAAACCCAGTTAAAAAAGGCCGTGAGTAAAATTAAACGTATTTTCAGGTTTTAATAGGGTGACATAACATGGTTTGGATTCTTTGTTTAAAGTTCATTTCTGGTGATGGTGAGTTTGTTGTGTTTGATGAATTATTGCGGACATTTTCCATTACGATTAGTAAGTAATAAACAAGTTTTCAAAACGTTTTAGGATCTGGAATCTTATCTCACCTGAAGTCGGTAACAGATTCGAGATCCCAAAATGTTGGGCAACTTTTTTATGTTATGGAAAATGTCCGCAATAATTCCTCAAATTGGGATGGAATTAAAGCTAAGACCAATCAAGGTTTTTAGTTTGGTCATCACATGAAAAACACTGGTTTGGACACAACTTATAAACTTTAGAACCACCTATGTGGAAAATAAGATATAATATCTCTTAAACACTAAACTTCATGGAAAACCATAAGAAATTGTCCAAATTTCAACTGTTTTAAAATTTTATACCCATGGTGAGACTTCACTTAGTAAACCGAAAAAAATAGTGTGTTATAATGTAAAAAAAAGTATTTTCACTGAGACCAACTGCTATTAGTATGTAACGGTAGTTAATTAAAATATACCCTATTATTTACACATTGATTAAGTATTAAGTGCCATGTTATTGCCCATATAAGGCTACCTCAATTCTGTGTACTTATATGTTCATTAAAAATATTTATGGTCTATGTGTAAGATAATACAAGTATTTAAAATATACTGTAAATATTCATTTATATGGATAAGAATATGTTTAATATATGAGTCTTGTAAATAACATTAGTGATGTAGCCTATAAGAAAATAAATCTGTGTTGTAGAAAAAATATTTTTTTATACCTGAAGATAAAATAAACCAAGGAAACTAATTTACTAAGATAGACATTTTTGTAATAATAAAGCAAAATGTTAATACTAATATTCATCGTCTTAATTGGTACAGATTTTGCAACCTTTGTTTTTTTTTGGAAGAACAGATTAAAATGAACTGTTTTAACTCGTTTTACTAGGCTAACACAAAGAACCAACTTTGTAACAAATTTATACAAATAAAGTTATTTAATACTTTTGTATTTGTTAATTTTTACTTTTGAAATTTTCCTTTTAAAAGACTAAAGAAGCAATATGGTCTGAGGTATCTTCATCATCGAGCTTAGTTGTCTGCGAGATTTGATCTTGGACATACTAACATGGATATGTTGGATTTGCCCTGCCTCCACCAAAAAACCGTAAACACCAATTATTGTTCAAAGTCATCACCATTTATGCCACTCAAATATTTAACTTACTTATAATGTATAACAGAAAACCTGTTTTACTGAAATTAAGGGGGCTTGGATAACCTGCCCTTTGTTAAATCAGTGGTTGAAATTAATGAAAATTAAAGGCAATTTAGGTTCCAGATCTACAAAAGGTTATGTTTTACATTATTTTAGTACAGTACAACTGTATAGGTACACAAATATATTTCAGATTTGTCGACAAATATTTTCTGAACTTTTATCTTTTCTTTATCTAAGGTATGCGTTCGGTATCCAATTGGTTATTTTCCAATTTGGTTTGAATTTATTCATCATGGTTTTTTTATTATTTCCTTAAATTACAAGACAAAAGCTCAAGGTAACTTAAATCAAAATCCAAAATAATCAAAACTGTTTATTTACAAAAACGCATTATTAGCTACAGTTTACACGATACAGCAAAAGAAGTACAAAAGAAGACACAAAGATGATTATGTACAATTTAAACTGAGTTTCAAACAGTTTATCCTACAAACTGGAAATCAGCTGATTCCGTTGACAGAACTAATTTACCAAATTTAACATTGAGTGATCAAATTTTACTACAATTTAAATGTTTATCGGTCTAAGTACATTAGGCTATCTAAAATTTATTTTCAAAGTCGTATGTTTCAAAAATCGTTAAAAAATATGAACGCTTACAAAAATTATATAAAAATTTGTGATGCAAAAAAATTAGATCACATTACTAAGGACTTTGTGATGGAGAGATTTTAAAAATCACAATTTTCCACAAAAGGCACACTTATCACATTTAAAACCTTACAAATTACGTAGGAAAGGAAATTACAACTTGATTTAAAATAGCAGAACTTCGCAACGCCAACCGTGAGGCCACTGGTGTAGAGTTATGTACAAGGGGAGTGAGAAGTAGATCTGAAGTTGGACTCAGTTCTAGTCCTTAGGAAGCGGTCTCTTGAACAGAAGAATGTGGGGCTCTGGACAGAACACAAGGTTTGAATTAATAACATGTTTAGATTGTTACGGTTATAACTTAATTATGAAATACAGGGAGAGGCAATGAGAGCATTTCAATTTTATATCACTGGAACATGATAAGTATTACAACAAGGAATGAACAGCTGTGCTTATAACCTCAATTAAACTATGCCATTTAGTAAACATGGTTCTATGGAGTCAATACAATGATTTTGCAAGGAATAATTTTGCAGCTTCAACCCGAAAATAAACACTCGAAGCGGCAAAACTCTGTGTCCACCACCAACCACAGAAAGAGAAAAAAAAAAAAAGAAAGAAAAAAAGAAAAAGAGAAAGAGTGTGAGTCACAGTTGAGTAAATCGATGTCAAAACAGGTTTGTCAGGAAGCCTTCGCTGTTCTTTGGGGGTTCTCCCTATAAGCTTAGGGTGACCAAATCATAAACTTGAAAAACATGACACATCCAAGGTGGGTTTCGGGGCAACAGGCCTACCTTCCATCTAAATGGGGCTCTGAGGGACCTCCATCGATAAGTAGTCATTGAAACATGCTCTTTTTTGCTGATTTAAGACCTATCAATCTTTTTCAAGTTATCTATAAATTAGTAATTTGATTTAAATTGTGAGGCGTATAATTGTTAGTCAAAGTTATGTTAAAAATCTTTGGGATTTGAATTTTAGCGAATTTCCCATATAGGGAATAAGCTTTTGCCGTAAATTTCATGGTAAGACCTAGACCCGGGACTGATTTTCTTTTTCGTTTTGAGGTCCCCAGAGACCAAAAACACCATTCGTTCAAATTCATATATATATGCGTTAACACAATAACTTGACCAAAAGTGATCCGATTTTGATTAAATTTGGTACAAACGTGTAAACCTACGTTTATTCGAATGAGTTCGCGAACCAGCATGATCGTACTATGGGAACAGGGGTTTATAGGGGTTTTTATGGGGTAAAAATTAGTTTTTCCCAACTTTTACCCTAAAAATACAAAATTTCACAATTTCCTTTCAAACCATTTTGTAGGGCTTAACACTTAAAGTGCCGTTGACATGTTTGAACATGAAAATTGCATTTATTTCAATGTTAAGCAATGGCGGGAATTCCCGTCATCAGCACCCAACGTGTTAAAAAGAGATATTGCAGAAAGGGTATGCACTCCCATCTTGTTCCTTTCCTCCAGTTAATTAGCAAAAAGATTAAGCTATCTCCGTATTTCCAATATACACTTGAGGGCAGGGATCACAAAAAACCATACTGACAAATTAAAAAAAAACATATTTCTAAAATTTATAGTGCAGTTTTCAAAATAACGTATGCGTTTTCAAAATAACGAAGCCATTTTTCGTAACACTGAGGTGGTTTTTTTTTTTTATTTTCATCAGTCCACTGTTTAACTTTTTCACATAAAAAATCCACTAATGATGCCAGTTAATCAAATAGCAAGAATCATTTGTAAATGATTTTTTTTTTCATTGACGTAACAAAATGTTTCTTCAATTTGTTTTAGACTGGGTAACTTAAAGGCTATCTCTTTCAAAAGCATCCATTTAAACTTAAGAGAAAATATCAACAATGAAAAAAGTGGATCAACCAAACATAATTACAGGACATTTAGGCGTCCCGGGAGACTATTTTTGGGACCACATGTTTGTACATAAACGGGACAATCTTTTTTTTACGGGACGTTTGGTCACCCTAAGCTACATCAAGTTCAAAGTTCAAGGTCCTCTGAGCAAAGATTTGCTCATGCTTATGCTATAGGCCTATATGCGATGTAACATAACAGTTAGTTTTTTCAAGATGTGATTTGATTAAATAATTGAAATAATATCATCTCTAGCTTCTGACCAGATTCTTTTGTTACTACGGTCTGTAAACCAGTAATAACAATCAGAATACTGCAATAGCAGAAAAGTATCACATTAGGTACAGTAAAACCCGGATTTAACCTAAACAATGTGCTACAGGCCGTTTTGGATAACCTATTTTTCAATTAATCAATTAGTGGACTTTAATGCTGCAATCTTAAAATCCCCTACTGCATAAGTTAATGAAATATTTTCCTCAAAATTATTTTTTAACTATAATCTAGCTATAACAGATTGAGATACATGTCGTCGTCCACTCTACTACTTTCCTTTGGCCAAGCAAGCGGCTCACGTTTTGGCAGACTGCTCCCATTAAGTAGGCCTAAGTTGAGCTAATTTTGTAATTGAAATTATTTTTTTTATGATTGTTTTGGTTGACCTGTGTTAGAGTAACGGGGTGCGGTTGGAAGGGGTTTTACTATAATAGAATTAAACATAAGCCTACTTTTCAATTAGGCCTAGTTTATGAAAAAGATAAGTTACCTGGTTGGTGAGTCATGTAATGGATCCATCCTTTGCTCTGCTGAACGCCAATACCTCGCCACTCGTCTTCCGTCATCAGGTGAGTCTTGGGAACGAGCTTTACCATTTCTTTGGGGAGCACAACATGTCTGTGGAGAGACATTATGTTAATTAACTAGGCCTACAATGACAAATTAACATTATCTGAAACTTACCTACCAAAATATAAAAATAAAAACACCGTAAACTGTAGTACCGGTAGTTAAGTACTGAGATGGTGGCGTTGTCCTGTACAGTATTCCAGCTAAGTTACTAGGTCACAAATTGTGGATATTTATAGGCACACGCTCTAAATGCGATGCTCTCTGGGTGTGGATGAACGTCTGCACTAGTGAGTACTACGACTAGCTAACCGAGTAGGCCTACTACCGTACCTGCAGTGCTATCCGGATAATTAGACCAATTTGTATTAAATTAAAAGGCAAAAATGTGGTTCGGATTCCACTATAAACTGTACCGGTAGGTCCCTTAGAAGCCATGGGTGGACTTTCATAAGCAGAACTAAAAAAACCAAATGAAATAACTTATCAAATTTTCTAGGCTATAACTTATCGATTTAACTCATTTTGATTCAATTAAATCAAGTTTGGTTAGTTAGGTAGGATAACCTAACCCAACTAGGCCTAATCAAATGAAATAATCGATAAGTTATATGGAATAATAGGTAATAGTATTAAGCTCAATATATCTCGATATTTTCATTCGGTTTAAGTTATTGAGTGCTGCTTATGAAAGTCTACATAGGCTGTATGGGCTAGTTATTAACAGCTGTGTCTAAGGAACATGTTGGCCTTAAGTCACTAACAAGACTTAACACGATCACGCCACTCATCCTTAACTTACTTAAACTCATCCTTTACGCATATTTGGGATACACACCTAGTGGCATCCCCATCTTAGGCTAAATAATTTATACCGTAGGCCTACAATTTTTATCGACAGGCCTAACTTAACTATTTACATAAATTATTTAACTAATGAGTACCAGGGGACCGAGCCATGGCTCGGTAAACTTACCTATAACTTAGATTATTTCGATTGTAAAACCAATGTAAAGGAAACTGTTTTTTTTTTTTTTACAACCTTATTCGAAGATGACAAAATATAGCGATAGCATACCATCAGTGATCAATTTTCTAGTTACATACATACATACATACATACATGATACATGATCTCTCCGTCCGTAGTCCTTTGCCTTAAGGAATTGGACAGGTCAGGGTTAATACAAAGAATGGCTGCACTTTACTTGACGTCCTACACTCATTCGAATGAAAATATCGATCGATATATCGATTAATCGATTGCTTCATTCGATATATCGTTTGGTTAGTTAGGTAAGGTTAACCTAACCTAACTAACCAAACGATATATCGAATGAAACAATCGAATGAAAATATCGAATTGAAAAAAACAATCGAATGAGTGTAGGACGTCAAGTAAAGTGCAGCCCAAAGAATAACCAGAGCTTAATACTAATTTTTGTCACCGTCTAGGTAACTGTCTATGTCCTCTAAACTTAACTCTACTAGATATTTTTTTAATTCTGATTTGAATTTTGTTCTAGTTCTAGGCCTAGATCATTCTCTACACTGGAGCTAGGAGCCTAAGTGCCATCACAGCCAAGGGTATATCAACTAGGCCTAACAAAACTTATGAGACCGAATCTATGTTAAATGTGTGACATAACGTGAAGTGAGGGTTTGAAAATAAACAATTGAATAAATGCAGACATGCGTTTAAAACAGACAATGACTAACCTGTATTCATATTGATCATCAGTATACTTGTCGGAGTAGTAGATGTTTTTGGCTGCAGAGGACATTTTCAAGTACTCCAAGCACTAGTAGTCACTATAAACTGCAAACTAAATAATGAACTAAACCAAAACCACTATCGTTAAGTCTTGAAAGACGATGTTAATGTTGAAGTTGAACTTGTTCGATGAATGAATTGTTCAATTTAACGAATTTCAAAACTTTGAAACTGGAAATTTGATTTCAAAGACCAATAAAAGGTATTATAGCTTCCCGCGAATCCCGCGCAAAGGCATATAGAGCATGTGCGTGGCCAATGATTTTTAAATACTAGGCATACCAATATTAATACCAATACTATTATTATTATACAGTACTAATTACAAGAATATTAGTTATAGTATAGGCAGTACTGTGGTACTATGTAAAATAAAATATATTTATTGATGTTATAGTCAAATTTAATTTGATTTGTAAATTTGAGACGTCATTATTTGTCATTGTAATAAATAATGTATTAAACAGGCATATAAAATATCACAACTTTTAAATTTATTATCTTGAACTGTTTGAATTATGTTTCCATGATAAATTGCAAAAATACACAAGAATATTAGTATTTAGAATAGCATTAGGGCTCCCGTAAAAGTGGCTGTGGCTCCCGTCAATTTCAATAAAGTTCGTGTTGTGAGTGTGTGTGATGATGACAGATCTAGCTGAAACTAATTAAGTGGATTTACAAAATTACTTGCATTTTTTTTATATTTAAAATCATTTCGAAATTAGTATCCTTATACATTCACGATTCACTGTAAAATAGTGTACCGTATTCAAATTCATAGTAAGTTTGATCATAGACTAACCAACACTTGGGGGAGTATGTTATATCTATGGTTTGATCAAACTCAGGGTTAGGTTGTGCACGTTTGAAAAAAAAGAGGAGAGAAATAGCAATAATAAACATTACTACTTGATCAGGACACTCGCTAAAGTGGATACAACCATACAACCATCCCAGACCAGATCAAGCCAGATCAGATCTCCTGTCTATGTTCCGGATTATACACAGCCACTTCAAGAAATAGATGTAATCTTGTAAAACCTAATTTTCTCCCCTAAAACGCTTTAGGCACGAGCCCGGGATTGTTTTTCACATTATTTCAGGCTAGGGGTTATGGGGCAATATCACTTAGATAAAAATCCATTGGTGATTTGGCGGGATTTGTTTAATATCAATAAATCAATTATTTAAGATTGGGATGCCACTATGTGAGCATTTTAATCCAAATACTGTATGAGTGAAGGATGAAGTTAGTGGTCTTGTAGTCTATAGTGACTATAAGGATATTATACGAAATAATGATAAAAAAAACGTCAATAGAAAGAAAGGACAAGACTTAACCTTTTAATTGTAACCTTTAAATAATGTCAACAATAAAAAAAAAAAATTATGTTTGAAAATTATGTGATAGGTACATCATGTCAATTTGAGCCTCATGCATCAGGGACTGAAGTCAAATCAAATAAAAATATCTTTATTCGTAATCTGTACAATATGCTTGGTACATTGAATAGTGTCAAAATGACCTACGACCAAACAGGGCCGCGCTCTAACAACTCTGGTCGCTCCCCCAAACCTATTGAGTTGCACAAGTATTTAGGAGCCATAAATACCAACAGATAGTTACCGATCTTCAATAGACTGCCAGATCTTACTGTTACATTAGAAATTTAATGATGTTTGAATAAAATGGAACTTAGGCTTTGTACATAGTATTTCTTTTTCAATGACAAGACTGATTATTGTAGACTGACTGTATGTGATGTAACGTATGTAAGCGTTAATGTACATTCCTTCCTGAACTGTCTGCTCTGCTTGACAATGACATCTCGCCGAAACATGTAGCATCTACGGAAGCTAAAATTTGGAACTGACGACGGGCAATAAAAAACCAATAGTAGTTAATATTAACATAGTCCCTTTTTATCTATGATATTATGGATATGGACAATGCACTTTCTTGAACTAGTGCACTCCGAGGTTGCCTGGTTAAAAAATTAGCCAGGAGAGGAAATGGGGAAAACAGTAACTTACCAGCTTTATTATTCATAATAACACACCAGTACCTAACCTCAAAATAACAAAACAAAACTCACTCAAACTTCAAAGTCAAACTAAACAAAAACACACAAACACAGCACAGCACAACACAAACACCCAACATAGAGAATAGGCTTACAGTATTAAATTAGTACAATTTTATCGTCAACAATATTAACATTAGTCGGGATATAATTTTAAATCTAATATTTTTCATAAAGCTGTGTAGCTAATGTTCAAAATTCACCCTTGTGGTTTGTTTTTACGAAACAAATTGTTACAATTAAATTTTTCGTACATTTTCACTAAAAACTACACATCTACAATATTTGCCCTGTCATCAGGTGGGTTTTATATTTCAATTTTCCGTGGTTTTTGTCAAATAAACTACATAGCTGAATTTTGAAATAAAAACATGATAGGCTAATAATAGGATTGTGCTGCTAAGTTTATGTACATAGCGAGGAATTATCTAAACATAAAGCCCAGGGTTTAGGCTTAGACAATTAATGGAAACCATTTCGAGATGAATGAGTTACAGTGTTTACTCTAAAGTGCAAGACGTTAAAATGGTTCTAATTTTTTTTATAATCCGAGAGAAGTAACCTAATAAATGTGTAGGGCCTACAGTTATTATGTTCATCTCGGATTAACCCTCTTTGATGCCCTTCTTAGGTCCTTGATCAGGCTCAACGCATAAAAACGTATACAGATTTTTTTAAAGACACACACTCTAATATTCTAGGAGGATCGAGCTGGTCTACTGTTGGTGGTTAGAGTGTGGGACTTCGATTCCAGGTGCCTGGGTTCAAATCCCGCCAAATCACCAATGGAATTTATCTAAGTGATAATTAAACCCCTAGGTCTAGCCTGAAGTAATGTGAAAAATAATTCCGGGCTCGTGCCTAGCGTCCTAGGACAAACAAAAATAAATAAATAGGTCTAATGTGTGAGGAAAATGTGTAGTTAGCCAAATGTGAAGTATTATGAGCAAAACTGGATGTTGATAGCATTTAGGATAAACTGCAAGCAAAATATCATATTCTCGAACTAAAATGTTTTCTTTATTTTTAACTTATGCTTAGTGATTATTTTAGGTAAAGGAAAATGTGGCGTTGCTGTTATAAGGATTTCCGGTCCTGCCTCAAATTTAGTGATGGGAAAAATGGCTGGACTGAAAAAGTTACCTGAACCAAGAAAAGCTTTGCTTAGGCAAATTAGACATCCAGAAAAACATGAACTTTTAGATAGAGGCTTGGTACTTTGGTTTCCAGGTAAGTCATTTTTGTACAGCTTTTGTTCATTGGGAAATGTGTTAATTTGTGGCCGGCAAAGCAGCGACTTCTTGTATTTAATGATTTAATCCTACACTACTAATATTATAAGTGAAAACGTTTGGATGGATGGATGTTTGTTGCAAGTAAACGCAAAAAATATTAAATCGACAGGATTGAAATTTGTTATGATGATAAAACTTAGCTCACTGAAACGTAACAGTAGCCTATATTTGTTTCTTCTGTAAGGTCCAAACAGTTTCACGGGGGAGGATAGCTGTGAACTTCAGATTCATGGTGGAGTAGCTGTCATATCAGCTGTTTTAGATGCTTTGGCTGCCATACCTGGGCTACGTCCTGCTGAACCAGGTGATATGTCTTGTATTTTATTTTATCAAATTAATTCAATATTTTGTCTACAAGGCCATATATTACATTTAGCTAAATAATGGACTATTATAAAGAATTCAATTGAGACAAAACAGGGTTTTGCTGCCACTTTTGATGTTCCGTAACTGAGAACTACAGACGAAACACCCTAGAAAAATATATATGATCAACAAATTAAAAGAACTTTTGTAAAGGGCAACAAAAAAAGAGAAGAATAAACCCATCCAAAAGACCGGCAAAGAGCCAAATTGAGACTGAAAAATTGAAACAAAAAAAAAACAGTTCGTGTTATCAAAGCAAACAATGTTAAAAGCATTGGTAACAGTAAAATAGACAGTGACATCTGTCATCTGAAAGTTAATAAGAAAAGAGAAACAATTCACTGAAGAGCAGCAATAACAGCGTAGGAATGGTATAAGTTTTTTTTTTTTTTTTTTTTTGTGAAAGACTGAAGCATAAAATAAAATCTATAATTGTGTTCTCCCAGTAGATTCGCGGCAGCAAATGTTTAAGTTCATAACCCGAAGTGGTTTTAAGCCACCTAAATTCGTTGTGTGATTAAAAATAATAATTTTTTAGTCTTCAAAATACTTTTTTGAATTTATAAAAACTTAAAATTTGTACTATTGATCAAATTATTCAAGAATGACTGTTTTTTTTTAGGGGAATTCACGAAACGGGCATTCTACTCAAATAAAATGGATCTCACTGAGGCTGAAGGGTTGGCTGACTTGATTCACGCGGAGACGGAAGCTCAGCGGAAACAAGCTCTGCTGCAAGTTGAAGGATCACTGTACCAGCGCTATAGTGAGTGGCGAGACAACCTGAAGAGGGTAAGTTCTATCTAAAACACTTTTTTTATTCCTACATCCTTTTGTTTTCATAATTTGCACTGTTTTATACTTTTAGATTAATAAATCTCCAATGAGCTAAACAAAATCAATAACAAATTTTTGTTGCTAGATCTATTTATGGCTATCAGTATCATTTTAAACAAAGAAATCACAAATGAGTCGTACTAACCTAACACTTTTGAGGATATTATGGGGACCAAACGTGTCTATCTTGAACCAATGTCTGAGACTCTAAACACTAGTAACATAGCTAAAGTAACCAAAGTGGCACTAGGTAACACACTAAGTTTGTGTTTGGCATATAAAAGATAGTGTCAAAGGTTTCCTCGAGCGTGTGTCTTGTTATAAAACTTCCAATCTCCGAGTAAAATATGAAATGTTTCTTGTGTCAACCTAAAATATTGATCAAGAACTTAGTTTCATCGTCAATTAGTTCTTAACGTGATAAACTCTCCCTCACTTTCCTTCATATTCCATATCATAAACCCATATTCTTAGTTTTTTTTTCATATTTTTAATCTCTTCGTCATCTATCACTATTACAGCTAACTCTTACCCAGTAAAATCAGCCATTGAAGCAAATGTTACCTTATAAAATTTACATTATTTTATAATTTATAAGCTTGGCTGTAAAAATACTATAAATAAAGTAACGGGAGGCTGACTGAAACCAACTGACAGACATAGTTGACTGAAAAAACTGATAAATTTTGGATAAAACTGTGACTGAACTGATGTGTGTTAAGCGACCTTAACAGTATGACAGAGATGGGCAGTTGAAGGACTAATGGTTCATCAAGAGGTCTCTATGTTATTTAATTTGTCATCTTTTGCAGTGCATCGCTCATGTGGAAGCTTATATAGACTTCAGCGAAGACCAAAACATTGAAGATGATATACTACAAACAACCAATAGTGAACTAAAATTACTCACGCTGAAAATACAGGCAAGTTGTTGTCCAAATGAGTTCCATTCTAAGGAATTCTATAGTTGTACAGTATCAAATGGTAGCCTAGAATTTTGAACTCCTAGGCAATTTACTAGATAATTTACTCAAAGTCTTTGATTACAGTCATCTGGGATCTACTCATTACTGAATGTTTTGACACTGGAATGGCTTGTTATTTGAGCAGGCGCACTTGCAAGATGGCAGACGAGGAGAGAGAACAAGAGATGGAGTCAAAACCGTCATTGTTGGGGCCCCCAATGTCGGCAAGAGTAGTCTACTCAATGCCTTGTGTGAGTAATCGTTTTTTCTAGCCTTGATGAAACAGTGGTTCCGATAGTTGAATAGAGCTTTTCAAGGAATTATTGTAGATTGGACTGAGTGTTTGTTTGAGAATTTATTGATGATTGAATCAAAATTGTCAACTGTTACTTTTTTAGTGTAGAGAACCTTAGTTAATTATTGCATTGTATTGTATGAGGGGACGGACTTAAGGTATTGGAACGTTACCTTGTTCCATTTGCCACTGACTGGGTTAGCCTATAAATACCCGTGACCATGACCAGGTACAGGAGCTTTTGCCCAATGTTTTCTCTGACAAAAGAAGGGTGAAATGCCTGGTAGCAATTTCTAGCTGACCGTTGACTCAAAAGACCACTATGGATTCTAATTGCGCCTCTTTACTGTACAGTTATGAGGATTTTTAACAATAGCATCCCTCAAATTACAAAGATCATCTATTAGCTATGATGATCTAAGTGCTCACAGTACATCCAACCTCAAGCAAAAGTTGTCAATCAATTTGTTCTTATTTTGAGTCCGCAATTTTACTTTTGGAAATTTCAATCTTTGCTGTTACTAAACGTTCACAATAAAAATACTTAAGAGTTTTGCAGGTGAACGGCCAGCAGCCATTGTGAGTGCTACGCCAGGGACCACTAGAGATGTTGTGTCTTCTGTGTTGGACATCGCAGGGTATCCAGTCTTGATCAGTGATACAGCTGGTCTTAGAGACAACACAGACGACGTGGTAAGTGAACTTTGGTCATATATTGGCCAATTGCGATTTTATCTAAGTCAAGTCGCATTTACGCGAGCCCATTAGGCAGGCAGGTCACCTGCCACAGTTGGTGTATTTCAACTTACCTGAGATAACCAGCCTGCCTACTGGTCTCATGTAAATGTTGTGTGAATATCTGCGATTAGGGTCAAGTAGGGCTGAGCATTGTTTACAAGATAAAAATTATCTATTTTACATACAGTTAAACCAGGGTATTCAAAGCACTCGATCAAAAGCTACTATTCGGGAAAGTTGACCATTCGACTTTCTCTTCCCAACTTTTGTACAAATAACATTTAGTTTTGATGATGTTGGAGGAATTGGTTCAATAGGGAGTTGTAGTTGTATAAAAAGTGATAAAAAACTTCTGGTCATACATTTACGTTAATTCAGTCGATCCAGAGGCCATACCATCATGAGATAAAAAAACTAGTTGATTAAACGACAAAACAAAAAGTCTGAGTCTATGTGTAGGAAGAATATAATAGTGAATATTTTGCAACAAATCAAAGAGCTTCTACTGAGCGAGTGGAAAGTATTGCGTGTAAATGACAACAAGCGCACTTGTCAACCTTAAGCTTATAAAAAAGCTCTGCATACTCGACCTCTTACTGCTATTGGAGAATCAATTATTTGACCAACTAGAATATTATGTGTTGTGTTGTGATTTTACATGATTTGATATTTTCATTGGTTTTACGTTTATTTCAGATAGAGAGAGAAGGAATCGCCCGAGCCCACCAAGAACTTGGCACAGCAGATTTGATGCTACTAGTCATTGACGCAACTTTTTACCAGAACTGGAGCGATAAAAACCAGGAGCAAAACTTTTTAGACTTTCTGAAGATTTACATCAACACATTAAAACTGGAAGAAGCAGTTTTGTCATGTGGAAATGTCCAAAAATTGTTTGGTGATAAATCACATAAGGTTACAGATAATGTCTGTTTGATAGTTTTCAACAAACTTGATCTGATTGAATATAAGTCGCTGTTTTATAAGGTGTGCCGGGAATACCCGGAATGTGTTACTGCAGTTTCATGTAAAGACAACGGACTGCTTGGACCTCTTATAGAGAAATTAACTACCAGCTTAGAAAAATTGTGAGTGAGTTATTATTTTTGAAATATAACAAAAAAACAATAAAAAATACTGGTACTATCAATATTTGCTTACAGTTCAGTAGCAGGTTAACTATTTAGCCTTAGCCTTTAGAAATTTTATGAACTAGTTTGATGCTTGGATCACAAACCTTAATAAAAAAAAATAGTATAAGTAACCAAAACACTATATGGACTCTGTCAAAATAAACTAACGACTCTGCAAAAACTACATGGCAATGAAGATCTAGCAGACTTTTCAGGCAGTGTTTTAAAAGTTCTTGATTTAAGTTAAAAAACTAAAAGATGAAACAATGATCAGTGGCATATTTATTTTAATGTCTTTGATTACTCTTTGTTAATTTAATTGATCAGCTGACTTTTAAAAAGCCAGCTGATCAATTAAATTAACAAAGAGTAGGCCTAATCAAAGACATTACACTTATAACTGATCAAACATTGTGGCTCCGTAAAATGCTTTAAAAATTCTTAATACTGGGTCTCCATTCAAACATGAAGATTAAATTCACAAGTTTTCACACACACACACTTATTTACCATACATGTGACATGACATGAGGATCAAGAATGTTTAGAATGTTTTGAAAAATCGAGAATCAGAGTTTGTCCCAATTTCGGGATTAAATATGAAATTCACAGCTCAATTGAAGTTTTTTACTGTTTTCATGGTTGGGTACTCTGTAATATCCATGATTTTTTCACGTTTTGTAATATCCAAACCTTCCTATTCACAGGTGTGGCAACCCGACAAGAGAGAACGCCTGTTTGAGCCAGTCCCGCCACCGTTACCACTTAACAGCATGTGTAGCAGCCCTCGACAGATACCTGGCCATGTGTGGAAGTGAGAGAGAGATAGATCAAGCTGCAGGTCAACTTAGAGTAGCTATGAATGCTATTGGACACATCACTGGACACGTGTCTACGGAACAGATACTCGATGTAATATTCAAAGACTTTTGCATCGGTAAATAAATCAGTGTATTCATGTTACAGTTTTAATGCACCATTAGTCCCCTGGAATGATTTGGAAAAGGAGAAAAATATGAAAAATCTTTTAATAAAAATATTCTTTGTTAGTTAATTATTCTTCAAAAATAGCTATTTACATCACGTTACAATTTGCAGTTGTATGTTAAAATTATATGTAGCGATATTTGATCGTTTTCTCACAACCTATTCTATATCTTCTGCTTTCTCCATAATAGTGTCTATTTTGTCTTCAACAGAATCGTCACTACACTGACTTTTGACCGCGAGAAGTCTAGATTCCAAGGATCGAACCTGCGACCTGAGCCTAATTACTTCTCTCAAAACACATTCACTCTCTTGTTCCTTTTCTCTTACTTGTCTCTCCAACTTGTCCTTATGCTTCTGTTTCACTTCCATCATATGAGAACGTATGTGATCTTTCACATTGCCATTTGGTCTCCTGGAAATTTAAGACATGAATAATTAGAACAATTAATTATCTTAAGGGCATATTACAGTAAACATATGATACCAGTTATTATGCATGCATGTTCATTCAAAATATCTGGGGCCATGTCCGTGTCAGTCAGTATATAGGTAATATTTAAGCTCACAATTTAGGTAACTTATTGAATGTAATTAGGGAAACAATGTTGAGGAGTCTTGTAACTCATAACAGGTCTGAGAGTCCAGTTCTAAAAATACAGAAAGTAGGCCTACCTTTGAGTCATAAATTTCAACAAAGTCCTAGAGTATTTCTGAATCAGAATGGAAACCTAGAGATAGAAAAGTATAGTTGCTGTCATCACAAATAATGAATTGCACACAATTTCTTGGTACCTTCTAAATCGTCCACTCGGATAGTCGGCTAAACCAGAGCTTGGTTAATCAAGATTATACTTTACAATAAAATAGGAATTCCTACATGGTTTCTGTAACTCATTTTGATCATATTGGTCTGATAGTGCTAAAAAACCATTCTACAGGTCGATTCCCACATATCAGTCCAGTCATAGTTCCGTTACAGTTCATTCTCAGTTGCATCTGCAATCTCTGTCAAACTGTCAGTCATTTGGTTTCAGTCAGTCTTCTGGCACTTTATTTACAGTGTTGTTACAGTCAAAAATGTTTAATTAAAACACAATATTCTATCGAATATTCATCGTCCATCTTGTTGATTGTTGAAAAATAAAAACGTTACTTAAAATATAAAACTCGATCATTTAAATAAAAAAGGACCGTTTTCTAACCTTAAATATATCCGTCATAATCCAAAAATATCGGTGAAAAGAAATCTGAAATTGACTGACGGGCGCCGGCAGAGCATCTGTCGGAACTGCGGCAATGAGTGAAGATAGCGTGATAGAAAATCCATTAAAGAATATTTTTGTTAACTGTGACGCGATGTAACTGATGTGTGTGAATCGACCTTAAAACTAACATAAGAAGAATCAGACGTTTAACTTACCATGATTTTTGTCCTTCTTCAAGCATTGATTGATCAACCAACTTTTCAAGTTGATGTAGATTTTCTTTTATTTTTTCTTCTTGGACTGTCTCTTGGATTTGTGTCAGTAAAGAGTCCATAAGTTCTGCTTTCATTTTCTTCTGTATTTTCCCGGGAACTGATCTAGATTGTCTTATAGCTCTGAGCACACCAAGACAGTCTGCATAGTGTTCTTCACTGAAAAAAAGTTGTGTACATCATTGGAAACCCAGTAGGCCTACTTAACAAACATAAATTTAATTGTAGGCCTATTAGATCTTTGAATCAATGGTTTAAAAGTAGAACACAACTCGGTGATATGAGTGTGAATGGCTCCTTTTTCACATAAATAGATAGACATTCAGTTTGTTATAGATTGTCATATTAGGCATTATTAAGTTAAACTTTAACTGTAGATATTCCTAGATTTCTTGTACATGCAATGTGACACACTTAAGGAAATGACGAATGTGTTTCACAGCAATGCCTGTAGTCACTAAGCTGAGGCATAAACATTACGAATAAATTTAGTTTGACATAGGCCTAAGCGTTGGATGTATACAAAGGACATAATTTTTTCCACCACTCCAAGCACAAACTAAGTTAGGTGATAGTGGTTGTTTTAAGTGCTGTACATGAACTAAACTTATCATAAACTATCAAATACCAAAGTAGGCTGGACCCAATACATCTTAGCATAGTTCCAAATCAATTATGAGAGGGTAGGTTCTAACAAAACAGCCGTGTTTAGCCTGTTACTTCAAAAATATTTAAAACTTAAGACTGACATTTAAGTTGTTATGTTGAAGTAAAAAATGTTGTTCCCTAGACAAAAAATAGCTAGGCCTAGCAAAATTAAGCATATTTGTAAACATGTTGGCCTACTGTTAGCAAACTAGGCTGCTTGCCAGCCGCTGGCACAGCACCACACAATAACGCTGGCAGTCGGGTCACACTAGGTTACTCGCCTAGTTTAAAGCTCAGTTCTAGTTGGGTCATCTGTGGGTCCTCAAAAACGAGTAGCCTAGGCTACTTAAGTGATTAAGGATGCGTGTGTGAAAGCAGTTTGTTTAAAAAGCATAACCGCAAGAATGTTAGTTACCCAGGCCTTGGGACAAATAATAAAACAGTAGGAGCTTCTTCAAGACTATTGCAAAGTTGTAATAAAAAGAGGACTCAGAAACATACAGAAATGATTTAGGAATGTCACCACATAAATTCAAGAATTAGTTAAACCTCCAATTAAAAAAGAAAATAAGTTAGGCCTACCGGTAGCCTATTAATTTATTCAACGGCAAACGTTAATTTACAAGAAACATGCTTAACATAGTAGATATTTATAATAGCCTACAACAACAGTGATAATGATTAATTTGATACAGGAGAACAAAATTTCAACAACAACCGGCTGCACTTTACTTGACGTCCTACACTCATTCGAATGAAAATATCGATCGATATATCGATTGCTTCATTCGATATATCGTTTGGTTAGTTAGGTAAGGTTAACCTAACCTAACTAACCAAACGATATATCGAATGAAAATATCGAATCGAAAAAACAATTGAATGAGTGTAGGACGTCAAGTAAAGTGCAGCCCAACAACCTAGAGGCCATAGGTTACCCTGATAATAGCACTGGATTTTTGGAAAATCTATTACTAAGGATTAGGGTTGGTTACTTACCTAACACCAGACGATATGTTCTCTATAGCGTTCTTCAAGTATATTGATAGTCGAGAATACCTATTCAAATACTCTGATGAAAAGGATTCACTACTGATATTTTCTCCACTGCCACTAGACACTGATCCACTGTTTGGAGTCGTCATTGTTATAGTTTAAAGAATGGGTAGTCTTAAATATGTGCTAATGAAAGAATGCACTGATTAAGAACATTATATAAAGTCTAATGTTGTAAATTAGCAATCAGTAGCCTAAAACTAGGCTCCCCAAGATGTTTTAGCATTGCATAGGCCTACCAACAACCTCCTAAAGTAAACAACATTTTACAACAACTACTTGTAAAGTAAATGGTAAAACGTTCAACAAAAATATATTTTAGGATCAAAATAGTAAATCTGCGGTAGTTCATAAATATTTACCTATACCTAATTCTTGAATACTGTGTTTTAATTCCATCAAATTGACGTAAATGACGTTAAGGAAGAGTAGGAGGTTAATAATAAAATTGAAATAGTTGGCAACCACAGGCTGCCAAAATAGATGGCGCGAAAACTTGCATAGTCCACCAAACTGTCATTGGAGAGTTGTTGGACTCAGATACAATGAATACAATGAATTTATTTGGCCAATCAACAACAACATTGTTACATGCATGATGCTATGTCAATGTACAAGCATAAAATAAAATAAATATCAAGACTTAAAAATCAAACCAAGCAAAAATCGATCAAAACCAACCATGTGAAAAAAAAAGATATCTAATGATACTGTAATAAATTTGGTCAATGGCGAGTGAGGGCATCAGCATTATTTTTACCCTGCAATTTTCCAAACTGGGACCTACTAGCACAGATAAAACGTACGTTTTATCTTGAGATGCTTCTAGTGTTCAAGCCACGGCCGCCTTTAAATTGCAGTGCAGAGGGTATGGGGACGCTTTGGGGCAATGTATCTTAAGTATTACAATGCTATGGGAAGGGAGGAAAACTGGTCCATATAAACTTTGAGGATGTTTATGACTAAAGATGATGTGAAGAAATAAATCCGGACGAGCCCCCTTTCTTAAGGACAGTGGAGGCGAACACCCACAAGTATAGTCCATGACGTAGGAAGTGGTGAATGAAGTAGTAAAGGCTAGCAGCATTGACTGGCAAATATTTGATATATCTACAATGGGATACACTAGTGTTATTTGTTCAATGCTAGCAGTGTGGAGTGTGGGAACGCTTTATGGCAGTTACATTAATGTATCTGCAATACTAAAATGTTATGGGAAGGGAGGGAAACAGGTCCAAAACGTAAGAAGTGGTGAAGGAAGTAGTAAAGTCAAACAGTCCGGAGTGTGTGTGGACCGTCTGTAGCAGTTATATTAATGTATCTGCAATCCTAAAATGCTATGGGAAGGGAGGAAAACAGGTCCAAGACGTAGGAAGTGGTGAAGGAAGTAGCGGACTAGCGGTGAACAGTATGGAGTGTGGGAACCGTCTGTGGCAGTTCGATTAATGTATATGGTGTGTTTTTTGAAAGTAGATAAGAGTAGTTTGTGCACTATTTATTCTACTATTGTAGTTGCCATTATTTAACTATTTATTTATTTATTATATTTGCCTGTTTTTGTGCATTGTGCGATTTAAGTTAAGTCAACCCAGTTTACTAACTGGGACTGTTAGCCTAACTGATTGTTGCCAGATTATTATAAATGACTTATCTGATTGCATGCAACTGCATGTTTAAAAGACCAAATAAAATTCTCATTCTCATTCTATGCAGTCCTAAAATTCGACGGGAAGGGAAGGAAACAGGTCCAAAAGTTGGGAATGGTGAAGGAAGTAGTAAAGGCTAGAAGAGCAGTGTGTGGGAACATTTGTATTTTGTATTATATCTATAAACATGTTTTATTTATTTCTTTATTAAAAACCATTAAACATCATGGGGTCTTGGTTGACATAAAGTCAAAGACTCTAAGAACAATAAAATGTTAGTTTGTTGGTTTTGGTTATCGTTTGTTTTTGTCTTTGTTCGTTGTCTGTTTTTTTGTTGGTGGGCGTCATGTTTGGCGTCATCTTTGTTCATTATTTTTTTATTTTGTTTGTTTGTTTGTGTTGGTTGAAATTGAAACCTAACCTATGTGCTTGTGATTTGTGCTGTGTAACCCATTGTCGTAGTAAATAATTATATAAATTTTTAATTTCCATAAACGTACATAATCTCTCACTCTCAGGGTTATTCCTCAACTAGAGGTTTGTAAACTAAGGCTGTTACTCTGATTTTTAGACCTTATGTTACTTTGATACAAAATAATAATAGCCTAGGCTAATTTGCGAATCGTTATGAGATAGGCTAGGCCTAGGTCTCTGCCAAACTGGATTCCTGAAGTTATATTTTTAACCTCTGCCTGCATATGATGGATATTTATGTTCCTCGTAGGTTAGTTTGTTGCTCATCCATATTAACTTAGCCTATGCAGTGTTGAAAGCCTAAATTTTTTTGTGGTTTTTTGCTTTGATAGGGCTAGACTTTAGACCTAAATTAAGCAAAAAAAAAAGAAACCTCAGCAAGGACTTTTTCCGGCACTTTTATTCTGTCAAATAACTTACTGAAGCAATTCAAAAAATTAGGTTTGAAAATCGTTTAAAATCGCAGAGTGCCGAAAATGACCGGTTTAACTTAAGCCTGCACAAATTGCTGTGCCAAAGTTAGGATCTTCGGTTCACTTTATTTTTATAATTATTAGCTCATTTTTTGCATTTTAAGTTAGCGCAAACTGTAGGCCTAGGCCTAACTTAGTTAACTTAGTAAAAGGGTATTTATTCCGTATAGGTGACTCCAAACGAATTTTTAATTTTGATATCTTACTTTATAGTTTTTTACCTCCTGAATCCAAATATACCATTATTTTTCACCGCTGATGAATATTTCTCAAGATATCGCCGTAGAAACATACTTAACATTACAATAAACAAGATAGGATGGATAACATTTCAAGTGATTCTGTAGTCAAATGTTCTCTATAGGCCTAATACGAATTTCGTCACATTATGGAGATATAGATTGACTGGTGGACTAATTACATGTAGTTCTTATTTAGGCATGTCAGGGTGGTAGGTCGTGCTGTATGTGAATTGGTGACTGCATTATAAGTGTTTTGAAGTTAGGTTAGATTAGGAAGGTAAAGTTTAGGTTATAATGTATCGAGTTGTTAGTTTATGTTGCCTGCAGACTGTTTTTGTAAAATTAAAATCCTGAGAAAAACACTTAAAACTACTTTTTCAAAAATGCTTGCACTATATATAAATACTACCGACAACTCTACCCGTGTAAACCAGGCTTTAAAGTTATAGCCTAGATACTATTAACTTACAATCTATGTATAAATCGTTGTTTAGGTTTAACTTAGTGGGTCCAACAATAATTTTCATAGGTTTACAGAACTTTGTTATGGTTATTCCTTGCTACTTTTGTTAAGTTATTGTTGCTCTTTTTATTGTAATTCAAGTAACTTATTGTTATTGTGGTAGATAACTTAGGTAGTAAGTTATTTACTAATTTATTACATATTAATTATTCATTTTATTAAGTTATTGCTGTAACCACTTTAAGTACTGTTGTATGAATATTTATCCATCTTATTAACATTGTATCCGTTTTTTTGTAATCTGTTGTAAACCGTTGGGAGATAAATAAATAAATACAGCATTTTACTTGTTAGCAGTTGACTAATGCCTACTCGACAACCGTCGAAGCATGATACCTTTTGTTTACAGAAATTGTCTTAGCCAATGGCCGATTCATCAAAACGAGATCATGAGGGAAGTGATTCAGACCATTCAGATGATGGGTGGATTGGACCTTCACCATCAGAAGCTGCCCCTCCTAAAAAAAGGAAAGGTAAGTAACTTATTGGTATGGAGACTAAAAAAGATATTTATTAATAGCCCATAATTGATCCTTATTACGATTGTACCAAAGACACCAAAGTCGTGGGTGAGCTGAGGGGTATGTAAACAGTCAATTTACTTTACAATGTACTTAGTTGTATTATTTTTTGTAAGCTAAGAACACCAAAATGTGAAATAAATTGCTAGTTTTTACTAAATAGGCCTACTTAAAAAAAAAAAATGAAATTCGAAAATAAATAAGGTAGTATTCTATTTTTAGGTCTACTGTATACAATTAGGCTTTAAAAACGGTAAGTTTGTGTTAAATGTACGAGACTGTTAGTTTTTAAGATTAAAGGGTTATAAATTAGTGCTCAAACAATTGAATAAATTTTGTTTTAAATTGTGTTTCAGTGCTTCAGTATGAGAAACTGTATCTGGACAACTTGCCTAACGCTGAGTCGTACGAGAAAAGCTTCATGCACAGGGATGTCGTAACACATGTTGCCGCCACCAAGTGAGTTTCTTAGAAAAGATTTGCATAGAGCGCTATCATTGATTATTGGATACTGAAGTTGTATTGATAGTCAAAGGCGTTATGTATGTTATCAAAGTAGCTTACAAACCACCAACTGTTTCGATTTTGCCTTGTTCTGTCCATTAAACCACCTATTCAGTAGGTAACTATACAATTAGGGAATTTTGCACAACCACAAAATTTATACTAGGCCCTACCTATGTGCGTTGTCTGCATTTGCCACCAATTGCGAGGTAATCTTGTTCATCCTTAAGGTAAACTTATTGAAAACAGTTTGAAACCGTCTATATTTTTCACAATGCATCTAAACATAGGCTAATTTTGCAAACATTTTGTCAGTACTGTTTTGTAATTTAACACGTTCGCTGCGGCCCATCAATGGCGAGCGTATCCCTGGTGCGGCACAGCGTCGAACAAACCGTTTACCGGGTTATTGGCTTTTAAATTTCGGTCTGAGGAATATTAAATAACGTGGGTTGATGTGCTGCATTACGACGAGAGTCAATGTAGTTTGCTAAAACACCCACAGATAGCAGCACTGTCTGGAACCAGCCGGTCTCATTGTATTGCCAATTGGAGGGAGAGAGAAAGGACAACAAGTTGATTTCTAAGCTTGCCAGACAGGAATTTGATGGGGAAATTTATTACCAACCTGGGTTTTGGGTCAGTACTGACCCACGACGATCGCAACCCTCACGCGGTCGAGTCAGTACCCACAGGGAACGTGTTAAAAAATAACATAATCTGCTTCTAAAAATAAATTCCTTTAGTCATGTGCTGAATTCTTTTGTGCTAAAATCTTCTGTTCAGTAAGGCAGCCTATAGTTAAAATTATGGTGGCACATGAATAATGAATTAATAATGAATTTATTTCCTCAAAAGCAAACAATTACATTTATAGCTTAGCCGTAATTGTTATAAACTGCTATCTTAAGGATTCGCCGTCTTTCATAATTTTTGCTAATATTAGGGCCTTTTTTTAATAATTTTTTCTTTCTTTGACTATGACAATAAAATATTCTGATTCTGATTCTTCTGGATTGAGCTAATTCCATACAGATGTCAAATCGATGATAGTTTACTTTTTGAGATGGCAATGTCGATTTTGGCCCATTTACCCTGCCTTATCAACATAACTGTTTTTTATATTTTTAGGTGCCAATGCTCCCAAATTGATAAAGTTACATTGGATTAAGTTCTACACTAAAGAAGTACTTTCATTGATGGCTGTATGTTCAATTATCATAAATAATTACAGAACAGAGTTCATTATAACCGGCAGCTGTGACGGCCATGTCAAGTTCTGGAAGAAGATGGAAGAGCTGATAGAGTTTGTGAAACATTTCCGAGCCCATCTCGGAGCCATCGTAGACATGACAGCTAACTACAACGGGACGCTGCTGTGCACCGTGTCCAACGACAAGAGTGTCAAAGTGTTTGATGTTGTCAACTTTGGTGAGTTGATGTATGATGATAGTTGAACATATTTTTGTAAATTGCTTAATTTATCCGTTTTTAGTTGGATGGACTTGTACTCTAAGCTCAAAAAGTAGAATACGTTTTATTTAGCAGCATATAAAAATTCTAGAGTCAGCCTCGACAAATTTCCTTAGATTTATGCTCTTCTGAGTAATTTAGGTTAAAAGAGTTTTATTATTTTAGGTTAGAGGTTAAAGGCGATAGATGGAGGTAACCAATGAAGTTCAACGATTACTTACCTGTGTATAATTACAGATATGATCAACATGATGAAACTCAACTTTGTGCCGCGCTGTGCCGAGTGGATACACGGCTTGGGAGATGCAATCCCTGCATTGGCAATGTGAGTAGACTTTAATCATAATTGTTATAATATTACCATAAAATGATCTGTATTGTTCTAATTACGTCTTTGGTCGGTTAAACATGAACAATTAATTAACTGGTTTTGTTCAAGGAAAGGCTCTAGGCCAGGATTTTGAATTGTAGAATAAAGGGGGACAGCTGATAGCTTACCTTAGAAGAAATACATTTAGGCCATATTTGTGTGTTTAATGTGGCTTCTATGTTTTTATGGCTTACCACTACACCATTTAAATAAAGCTGGTAATAATACAAAGAATTTGATGACTCGGTGGCTCAGTCAGTTGTGCAACAGACTTCAGACCCAAGGCAGTGATGTCGTTGGTTTGGATCTTTGTATCTGCCGCTACTTTTTATCAGTAGAGTTCACCCATGCACCGTACCGGCTCACCCCTTGCTTTGCTGGATACGTTCCAGGCACAAGCCTCTGTGGCCCATGTGGACGGGCAAATGCAAGGTAAAAAAAGCCGCAAACCTAACCCCTTAACAAAAATATGTAGTGTTAAGTTTTGTTTTTCAATTGAAACAGCCAAGAATCATGGACGTTAAATCCTTCAATGTAGACTTGATGGTGAGAGTAAAAATTAAGAATACCTATCTTTAAAATCAGTGAATACTTTATAAGTATTTAGAATCACTACCACTAAATGCTTTAAAATTTTAACACCCTGTTTATTTAGCTACTGCAAATTACAAAAGACTTTCTTCCAATTTGCAACAAGTATAATCAATAGTAAACTTAAGGTTTGTGGGACACTTTTGTTATACCAAAATCCAAAATTTTGGGACACTTTTATAATTATAATTCATAAATTCTGGGGGAGTCATCATTGTTTTGTTACAAAATATACTTGTCAAATAACACAACATATAGCACAATAATATTTTTTTAACTGTAATAAACTAACTTGTCTTTGCTAATTGTAGAGGAGATACAGATAGCAGTGCAATACACATATTTGACGGCAGAGGAACCAACGAAGCACTCAAAATTTTGGACAAACTCCATGTGAAGCCTGTGTCAATAATGAAGGTAATTTCAGATGAAGGTATTAATTATTTAGCCATTCAAACTGAAAAAATATCATAAGTAATTTTTTCTATGTTACATCTTTTAATTTATGGCTTCCAGGCCTCATTTTTGGTTGTTGTTGTTACCATTCAAGAAGTCTTATGTTGTGGGCCTGCAGCACCGAGATCGCTTTAGCCATATTGATGAACAAGACCAGAAATTTTGATTCTCAAATAACAGAAATGTGAAACGCATTTGCTTGCATGGTTAAGGTTAGGGCACACAAATAAATGCTGGTAATAATACAATTTTTTCTATGCAATCAAAACTGAATGAAATTGGACTCCCGACTGGATCAAAATAACATGATTGTGTGACAGATTCACTTTAAACGTAAAAACATTACTTTTTGGTAAATAACAAACACTTTTAAATTAAATTAAACTCCATTTCAAAGTATTTAATCCCAAAACTCACCAATAGAATCTTGAAACAGAAACTTTTTTCAAAGTTAAGGTAATTTGGGAATTGAAATTAGGTTTTGACTTTTGATACATTACTAGATATAAAGGATAATACTATAGCGTTGGCTGTGATTATTGCAGACTTTATAAGCTTTTTTTACTCAGTGGAACCTCGATAAGAAGACAACCTCGATAAGGTTCCAAACAAAGCCAGGTAACTTAAACCACTTAGATAAGACCTTCGATAACAAGTCACCATAAATAACAAGTTTCATTTTCAAATACCCTTGATTTTGTATTATCACATGCTATTGCAATCCTCAGTCCTCAATTAGAAGTGAACCTTGATAACTAGTCTTATTTGATAATCCTCGTGATATATTTTTTGTTGAGGTTCTACTGTAATTGTTTTTTCTGTTGCAGTACAACCCAGTGTTTGATGTGTCAGTCTCCGTAGACTCGGCTGGCATCCTAGAGTATTGGGGCGGAGTCAGACAAGACTACAAGTTTCCAAAATGTGCCAAATTCGAATCAAAACTGGACACCGATCTTTTCGAGTTTGTAAAACACAAAACTATTCCTTTTGGATTGTGTTTTTCACCTGACGGAACAAAATTCGCCACTATGTCTTTTGATCGTAAGGTAAAGTTTATATCGTAAAGCTTTGTTAGTTCTACTGTAAGGTAAATATAATCTTGAATAGTTGAGCTGTATTTTGTTGGTTTTTGTTTTAAACTTCTTCTGTATGAAATTACCCAAGAATTAAAGCAGAAAAGTCGTTCATGATTCAGATCTTGCCGTCCACGTTTTCTGACACTCTCCTCTGAAAGTTGTATCCATACCAACTTATCAACTTGCTCCTCGGTCTAATAGGTCTGTTATAAATCGGCTAAAAGACTAACGGTCGCTTGTCAAGTTTGTAAAAAAAAAGTTCAAGAAGCGAAAAAGTGGTTCACACAATTCTAAGAAAACATTATTAGCTAAAACTTCATTCTTGACATCGCTATCCAAAAACAAAAAGGTAATAATTCAGGTTAAAACTTTACAGGTTAGAGTATTCAACTTCCTCACGGGAAAACTGACTCGAGTGTTTGACGAATCACTACAAAGGTTCTCCGAGCTGCAGCAGAAAAAACAGCAACTACCAAACATGGAATTCGGAAGAAGGTAAATCGCTTGTCGTGTTTACATTTTGGCTTACTTACAAAAAGTTATGGTTATGCTTGATGCTGATGGCCGTAACGACTAGCGCTCTGGTCGTCTGGTACTTGTGACTCAAATGTCTTGGTCTTCATGTCTGCAAGTATCTTTGTAGGTTCAAACGGCAAAGGAAATGTACTATGTAACTAGTGCACCTATTGAGTGATGTAGTTTTGCCACCAGGGTCTCTTAGTGTCATATAACTATAGAATTCTTTGGAACTTACATGAAGATTATTTCCAGATTAACTGAGAAATCTGGATTGCTAAGTTTTTGGATGAGAAATTTGTGGGATTTCGCAGAAATTTCTATAGGAAACTTTAACACAGTTTTACAATGTCGAGTGAATGTTTTAGTAACTTAATATTTGCAATACAGACCCTGCTGAATTCAGAAGCTAGAAAAATTATGTACCTAAATCTTGTGTAAAGAGTCGCTACCAAAAACGCAGCCAAATTTGCTAGATCTAGGAGAACCCTTTTAGGGTGAAAAGTGGGTGTGTCGGTGGCTCATCCGGGAGTGCCACAGACTTCGGGCCCAAGGCAGCTTCACCCTTGTACTGTACCGGCTCACACCTTGCTTTTCTGGATATGTTCTACGCACATGCCTATGCACACAGAGAGACATGGATGAAAGTGTCTCAGACCTTTTAATGTCTAATTTTTGGATCTTGTCTCAACAGGATGGCTGTTGAGAGAGACCTAGACAAGTCTGACAGTCTAAGACTCAGCAATCTGGTGTTTGACGAGAGTGGCTACCTGTTACTCTACCCCACCATGCTGGGAGTTAAAGTGGTCAATTGGTATACCAACAGATGTGTCCGATTCCTGGGCAAACCGGAGAACCTTAGAATTCTCAAGATATCTTTATTTCAGGTAATAGGGACTAACAGTTTGCCTTTATGGTTAGGGTTCACTTACTCTACGAATCATTGACACAATGAGCCTCCAAATATGTAATTCTTAAAACACATGGCTCACTTACTCTACAAATCATAGTCTATACGAGCTTCGTAAATAATATTGAAGGTTCACTTGCACTACAGGCTCGTATACTATACGAGCCGATCAAAAATATCAAATAAATGAAGAGGGTTCACTTACTCTACAGATCATAGTGCCTATGAGCCAAGCGTATGAATTCTTGAATAATTCAGGAATAAGCTCGTATAGTATACGAGCCAAAATACTGAATTTAAATAAATTACAGGAGTAGGCTCGTATACTATACGAGCCTATTTCATGATAACTATTACACAAATAGAAGACGGCTCACTTACTCTACAGTTCATTGGCACAATGATCTGTAGAGTAAGTGAACCCTCTACAAATATTAGAAGGCTCACTTACTCTACGGTTCATTTAGCTACTCGTCGCGCGGTTTGCAGCACATCGTTGGGACGCGTTGCAGAAAGTCAACAGTCCCGGAAGGTCAAATAATTTATACCTGTGCCACCAGGTCAAAAACTACAATGTTTGCAGTGTCTGTAGATCAAAAATCCCAGTAAGTCAAATAGTACAGTCCGGGCTAAAAACGTAGTCTATGTTAAAGCAATTGACTTATTGGGAATTTGACCTAATGCAACAGCACTTTAAATAAAACGAAATAAGATAAAATATAAGTTCAGTTTCGCTGAGTCAACAGTGCCGGAAGGTCAAAAGTATAATTTGTTAAAAACAACGATAGTCCTCTCGACGCATGACTTCAATAATTTCGTGTTTTGGTGTACTTAAAGTTGTGCTAAGATTTTGAAAATTGGCACAGAGCTTCTTGGTTAGTCCTACTCAATGACTATTTTGTTGGAACTTTAAACTATTTACCGATATAATTAATAAAAATTGATATGTATGGTGAAATAGTTTTAAATCGTGATTTCTAACATGAAAAAGTTAGCATGCGAGATTTTTGTTTGTTTTTTGGTTAGAGAGGTTTTGTCTGTGGCAAAGTTGTAGCCAAAAGTGTGATGGGTAAAATATATTTTTTTGAATTTTTTACAATCAGTGGTTCAATAGATAACTTGGGTTGAAGAGGACGGCAAATTTAGCATTTCGCAACGCATGGAAAGAACTACATCGTACGATGCGACTGCTGGACTTTTAATTTACAGTTCTAAGGACAAGAAAAAGATGAATATACAGATTACCAGTACATTCATATTATTTATAAAACATCTTTCTGTATTACCAGCTTACATTTTTCACTTATATTAATAAGAATACATCACAAACAAGGTATTAAAAATAAGCGGAGAGACACTTTACCTAGTAATTCCTTGGGTCAAAATAAACAGAAAATGAAGGATAACATTTTTTCCAAAATCGTTTCGTTAACCAGATATCCGCCATTTTGTATTTTTTACATACAAATATTTATCTTTACACTTTTCCAACCGATGTTTATGAAACTTGGTATGTACGTTAAGGTAGGAGAGACCCATGTTATAAAAAAAGATTCATCTCGATTCACCCTAAAATTTCGAAATTTAACACTTAACTACAATATAATATACTTTACTATACCACAATATTTACGTATCACCATAAATCTTTAATAAAATAAAACGTCCACTTTTTAAAATCCAAAGTAAATCAATTTAATCTTCCTTTTTTGAAAAATATAGTAAAAAAAATTAAGCGATGTTAAAATAACGACAGGCGAGTTTCGATCTGGGTGTTTAAGGTTTGAACCTAGGAGGATTTAACATTAATTAACATTTTCCAAAATGGCGGCCAAATTTGAAATTTCTTATGGAACACCCTATATTTTATCATGTTTTCGGATAGAATATGCAATTTAAAAACTTTTTTATAATTGACATTTTTTCGATAAACCGACTCGTTTAGGAGTTATAGCCTATGGAAAAATGACTTCCGGTGTACATGTTACATCATGTAGCTCCTAAACAAGTAAGTTTATAGCAAAAATGGGAAGAGTAAAAAAGTCTTACAATTGCATCCACATTCCAAAAAGACCATAAAATTCATTAAAAATATGAATTATATTATTTAAAAAAATGGCGGCAAACTTGAAAAGTGGAAAACTTTTTATTTTATAGTCTTAAAGGAATGTAGATGCAATTCTAAGACTGATTTACTTTTTGCAATTTTGCTCTAAACTTACTCGTTTAGGAGCTACATGATGTAAAATGTTAACCGGAAGTCATTTTTCCATAGGCTGTAATCCTAAACGAGTGGGTTTATCAAAAAAATGTCAAAGCTAACAAAGTTTTTAAATTGCATATTCTATCCGAAAACATGATAAAAAACTAAAATCATATTTTAACTGCCACAAAAATTAAAGGTATGTGCCCCATTTTAAGTTTTCTCTAATTCTTACCGTTTCCGATTTCCCAATGGTGGACTCCGTGAGTTGATCACCCTGTATATATGAATTTGAATGGATGGTGTTTTAGGCCTCTAGGGACCTCAAAACGAAAAATTAAATCGGTCCCGCGGGTCCAGGTGTTACCATAAGTACTACGGTAATAGCTTATTCCCTATATGGGATATTCGCAAAAACGTAATAGTTATATAAAACAATATTACATTCAACCAGCTGTTAGTTAAAACAAATTATATGGGACTAAAACAAATCAATGATTATAAAGATTCCTTTAAAAATAATTTGAACATCCTACAATTTTACTATGCACATTTAATTAATCTGCCATCCTCATACCTAAGAATTGAATGGATCAATGGTCAGCATTACACATAGTATAAATATGTCAACTCTAAATATGTCTTTAAATTTGTTTCCAAATGCTGAATGTTTACAGCTGTTATGTTAAGCAAATTATATTGTACTAAAAGCTAGCTTAGAAGGTAAGCGTCGGCTGCTAGACTTCTTAAAAATTGAAACTTAATTTCTAAAAAACTGGGACCCTAAATTATAATTATGGCTTTGACATTCCCTAGTTCTCAAAATTATCTTTATTTCAACACAAAAATAATGAAAATCCGTCGACTGGTTGATTCAGAATGTGAAAAACCCATATTTACGTTTTAATAATATATATGATAGTTTGGACAGGTTTCAACCCTTCCGAGGCGTAATACATTTACACAGTTTATGTGTAGACTACATTATAACTTATAAAATAGTTCCAAAATTAAATGGATCTCCTTTTACAAACGTATATAATAACCAGAAATTTTTAGATCGTCCTTGCGTGTATTTTATGCCACAAATTTTGACGAAAGGCTTTTCATTACATAAACTATACCTATTTACAGTGTTGACCAAACAGTTGGCAAGAAGCATTAATAGATAAGCTATGTACCAAATATGATAATTTTAGCTCTATTCTAATTATGACAAAACACGAAGTAACTAAAAGCAAGTTTTGTTGGTGTAGTAGTAAGCGTTGCAGGAGGTCTACTTTACACTGAATCGACGTTCACTTTTATTGCTTTTGATCTTCCGGCACTGTTGACTCAGCGAAACTGAACTTGTATTTTACCGTATTTCGTTATATTAAAACTGCTGTTGCATTAGGTCAAATTCCCAATAAGTCAATTGCTTTAACATAGACCACGTTTTTAGCTCGGACTGTACTATTTGACTTACTGGGACTTTTGATCTACAGACACTGCAAACATTGTAGTTTTTGACCTAGCGGCACAGGTATAAATTATTTGATCTTCCGGGACTGTTGACTTTCAGCAACATTCCCACATCGTTGCAGGCGTGTATGGTAAACCAATACCGCAGTTCTGCCGTTCTGCCTTACTTCTGCCGTTTACTAGTCTTGCAGCGTGAAAGAGAGCTTGTTATGTTAATGCATTGTTGAATTTTTAACTTGTGTACTCGTTGCTAGAAATCAAGCAATTATCAAGTACCGGTATTACAGGAGCTATTTTAAGAGTTATTACAGACTTAATTTTCAATTAATTAAAAAGACTCACGTAAAAGCTTATGCAACTAATGGAATTACTTACTGTGTTATGAACATTTCTATATAATTAAAGTTGTAAATATTTTAAAATTGTTTAGAAGATTGCCTTTTTAGTGTTTTCTACAAACGTGTCTCAACTTATACACATAGACTGGTGGAGTGGTAATTTATATTTCTAATCATTTAACTTTTAATTATGAACGCTTTCAGTCACGTGAAGTTGAATTAATTAAACTGACATTAGTTTTTACCATAAATGATAAACCTTTTGAAATTGACTTAATAGCTTTGTATAGAAACTATAAATATGATTTTTATTTTTCCGCAATGATTTGCAACCTATTTTGAGTAATTGTAAAAACACAGCTATTATGTTAGGAGATATAAATTTATGCATTTTAGAACAAAATAACAGTGTCATTGATTATTTAAGTATAATGAACTCATTTGGTTTTGAGTCGTTTATAAATGAGCCAACTTGGGGGAGAGAAAATTGGGTAAAGTGTTTAGACCATGTATTCATCAGAAGTAAGACTAATTTAATTTTTCATAGTAATTTAGAAAACTATGACTTTACTGATCATGCTGGAGTTAATGTAAATTGCGTAACAAGTTGTGATAGTGCTTTGAAAGAGGAGTTTGTCAAGGCTGTAGATCATTCAATTTTAAAAAGAAGGTTGGCTGAAGTGAGCTGGATGCCAGTGTTTGATTGTGAGGATGTTGATAAATCTCTAACAGTTTTTTACGATATTTATAATAAATGTATTGAGCAATCAAGTTTTTTAAGGCCTATTAACAGTAAAAATAGGCATCGAACTCCATGGATATCGGACACACTAATTAAAAAGATAAATGAAAAACAGACTTCACTCTCGATTGAAAAAGCACTATGACATACATTTGTTTAATAGATATAAAGAACTCTCTAGAGAATGTTCTAATTTGAAAAGACGGGAAAAAATTTATTATTACTCATCTGAAATTGAAGCAGTAAAGGGTGACTCAAAGTCTTATTGGAATATATGCAAATCTATTATGAGAAAGTCAAAAAATGAACTAACATCGATTAATATAGATGATAAAATTTTACAGG